GGGGCGCAGCCGGGACCGCGGGTGCTGAGGGGGAAGAGGACGGAAGTCAGCCGCGGGGCACGCGGGGAACACTAACCCGAGAGGAATAGGAAGGCAATTCAAATGAATGGAGGAAATGGCAGGAACAGGTACTTCTCACAGAGCCAGGAAGGAGAGGGAGAGGGAGGGAGGGAGGGAAGGAAGGAGGTAGGGAGGGAGAGAAAGAGAGACAGAGACAGAGACACCGAGAGAGATACCAGTGGGGAAGAGATGTGGGAAAAGTGGCAGGGAGAAAGAACCAGTATTTGTCGTTTCTTGGAAAAGTGCAGTTTGTTTATAATCAGAAGACGGAAAGTTAAACCCACGCCGCATGCCACCAGATGGGCGTAGGTTAGCCTGGCAGCTTGAAGTGCAGCGTGTTAAGGCGGACAGAGAGCAAAGCATCTCCACGTGGGGTTAGGAGACTGTGAACTCGGATCTGGGATATTGGATCCAGCAACTGCACTTCTCTGTGCATTCAGCCTGGAGGAAAACGTTAGTCAGATTGTGGTATTGTATATACTTGTGTATTACACAGCAGTGAGCAGGAATGAAATCCAGCTATGTGGGACAACACGGAGACATCTCAAAAATGGAATATGAAACAATAACAGAAACCCAGAAAATGCATACAGTGTGTTTTTGTGTATAAAAATTAAAGACAAGCTCAATTAAACTGTATTATGTTTATAGATGCACAGTTAGTGAGGAACACTGTGGGGGCAAAAAGAGCCAGGTAGGAATTACTATAAAATTGTGATTAGGGATTGTGATTTGGGCTGCCAGGGAGGATTAGCGTTATAAGGAAGAGTGCCTTAAGACTGTAGTTTCTGACCTTAATCCCTAGTGGTGTTTATATAGATATTTATAATAATTTACTTAGATGGACATTTATGTATGTGCAGACTTTTTCACTATCAAAAAGGTTTCAAGAAGAATAAAGAAAAGAACTGTTGGGAATTATATTCACATGAAAAAGGCATTAAAACCACAAGTACATTTGAATAACTGTCTTCAGAGAGGCGAGGATGCTTTCATACTAAGTGCCTTATTAATGAAAGGAAACGTTGGAAAATGTCTTTCCCAGCCAGTTCTCTCACTTTTTTATTCCTATTTTTATTAGAGTTGAATTAAAAGAAATTTTTTTGGACAGCAGAGACCTTGTGTGTACACAGTAGGACCTCCATGTTCTTTGAAGAAATAAAAACGAAGTGGCTGAAAGCATTGGTGTTATTCTGTCCAGCATATCATAACAAATTATCATTCTACAGCTGCAAACATGCAAACAGATCCTAAGTGGAAGAATTTATTCCTTTTATCAGTTTCCAGAACGCGTTAGTCTGTGGACTCCGTACAGAGTTGTTTACACTTGCTCTCCTTAGTTGTGGTTCTCCGGACTCATGGAGAGCTTTCTGTATCATCCAAAACATTTTTTTCCTGAAAGTTAGTAGTCCCTAAATGATTTAGGAGTCCAGCCAGCCAGCCACTACTAGTCACATGCAGAACAAGCCATGTGCAGAGCTTGCTGTCCCTCTTCCCTCTGTGACGCCTGGGTATTATTAAAGTGACGAAAGACTGTGATAAGAAGCATGGATGGCTGTCAGCATCCACCAGGACACAGAAACAGCCAGTTATTTTAATGAAAGAAGATCAATATGAAGATATATTCATTGAAAAGGTGAAAGAGGAACATGAATATCATGAAAAAGTAAGTGCAGGAAGCAGCTTCCACTTCCATGTCAGGAGAGAAACAGGCATGCACCTGGAATTATTTTTATTTATTATTAGTACGTATTAATTGTACAAAATATTAGGTTTCATTGTGGCTTTTTTTTTTTTTTTTTTTTGTACCAGGAATTGAACTCAGGACCTTGTGCTTGCCAGGCAGGCACTTGTGCTGCTGAGCTATATCCCTGGCTCTTCATATATATTTTGATTGTATCCATTCCCCTCTATTAACTTCCCTTCACCCCCACCCCTATCTTCTTTTTTTTTTTTTGGTACCAGGGATTGACAGGACCTTGCACTTGTCAGACAGGCACTTGTGCTGCTGAGCTACATCCCAGGCCCGCCCCATCCTCTTATCTCATAGCTTCCCTTCTTTTTTCTTTGTTTCCCCTCCTCATAAGCAGTGCAGTGATATCCTGTTCTTTACAATTCTTGAAGATTACAGTGTGCAAGCAAACAAAATAAAGCTAGAAAGTGCATTGTTTCCAGCTGATGTTATGGCAATAGATTATTTACATGTGAACAGTGCTTCACAGGACTAGTGCAGGTTCCACGTATTAGGAGAAACTTGAAATACTTGTCTTTCTAAATCTGGCTTGGGGCTGGGGATTTAGCTCAGCAGCAAAAGCACCTGCCTGGCAAGCACAAGGTGGTGAGTTCGGTTCCCGGTACCGGAGAAAAACAAAACAAAACAAAAAAAATCCTAAATCTGGCTTATTTTGCTTCACATGGTGATCACCAGTGAACCTGGAGTTATTAACACTGTGAAGCTTGGCACAGGGATTCCCAGAGCTGGGGTCTAGGCCCCTAAATAGTGTGGGAGCCCACACTGATAGGTGCTGTGTTCTCGACAAGGTCTTATGAAGCCGGCTCCGGGACTACAAGAAATACTGGAATCAGTTGTTGCTATCAAAACAAACTGAGCTGCTTGGATGAAGAAGTATTGTCAAGGTGACCTTGAGGGGAATGAAAAGCAAAGAGTAATGCCTTCCTCTTCTCCAGACTTGTCATGTCCCTCTACTGCCCCCTACTGGCAGACCCAACAAAGAGCCAACTGGCAGAGAAATGAGGTTTTGCCGTGATGGCCCCAGCTCCCTGACCAGAGTGTGTGAAGCTGAGATATAGTGGTTCAATAGGCAGTGCAGTGATATCCTGTTCTTTACAATTCTTGAAGATTACAGCGTGCAAACAAACAAAATAAAGCTAGAAAGTGCATTGTTTCCAGCTGATGTTGTGGCAATAGATTATTTACATGTGAATAGTACTTCACAGGACTAGTGCAGTGCTTTTGCATATATTACCTGTTTAGAATTCAGCTGTCAACCTGACCCTGAATTAACTGAAACACAAAGAAGAACGAGAAAAACAAGTCAAAGAACGATCAAAACAGATAGGTTGGCAATACTGAGCTGATTTTTCTCCTTTCTTTCTGCACTCTACTCATGTATTCAACTCCCTACTGCTTAGTTCACTCTTCTGTGCTGCTACTCCAGCTCTGGGAGCAGACTCCTTCCTCATTTCCATTTTGATCTGTCTCCTACTCAGTTTGCTAGCTGAGAAGACCTAGCCTATCATCATCTCTTCCAGAAAGAATTATGGGACAGCCTCCACGAACTGCCCCCAAGATGCTTGCATGAGGGTGGTTCTCAACCTGAGGCAGTTTTGTGCTCTAGGGGGCAGTGGGCAATTTCTGGAGACACTTCTCGCTGTCACAACGTTGTGGAGTACTACCGGTATCTAATGTGCTGAGGCCAGGGAAGCTGCTCGATATCCTACTCTGTGCAGGATAGCCCTGCAACAACAATGCAGTCCAAAGTGTCAGAGATGCTGGGAAGGACAAGCCCTGTGCTAGGCTAGTGGCCCTTGGTCTGTGGCCCCAAGGCACCCAACTGCAAGCTTCTAGCTTTATATATTTGCTTGTACAACACTGAATTGAAATTACCTGTATGTTTCTGTTATCTTACTATATTACAAACTCCCAGAGAACAATGACTAGCGTTGTGTATGGTCCACAGAAGGCCCTGGCTTTGAGTCCCAGTACTGAAGAAGAAGAAATAAATAGCTTTAGTAAGGTATAACTCAGATGTCACACAATTTACCCTTTAAAAGTATATAATTCAGCAGATTTTAGTATATTCACAAAGTTGTGCAACCATTGCTATTAATTCCAGACCCTCTCTTCCACAGAAACCTGTTTCCATTGCTCCTCATTCCAGATTTCCCTCAGCCCTCAGCAACCACTAATGTACTTTCATTTCTATGGATATGCCTACTCTGGGCCTTTTGTACAAATGGAGCCATATAATATGTGTCAGGCATGGGTGTGTCCTCTCCCACTGGCATAATGTTCTCAAAGTTCATCCATGTTGTGGCATGTGTCAATACTCCTTTCCTTTTTACTACCAAGTAACATTCCACTGGATGTATAGAATATATTTTATTTAGCCATTCATCACTTGACAGACTTCTGCTTTTTCACCTTTGGGTCATGATGAATAGTGCTGCCATGAATATTCCTGTATGCATTTTTGTGGATGTATGTTTTCATTTCTCTTGGATATAAACTGAGGAGTAGAATTGGTGAGCATAAGATAAGTCTGTTTCACTTTCTGAAGAACTGTCAGACTGCTTTCCAAAGTGGGTGAACCTGTTTACACCTTCACTGGCAGGATGAGGGTTTCTATCACTTCATAACTCTTGCCCACACTTGTCACACTGTCTCTGTCTCTTTCACTGCAGCTGTCCTAGTCAGTGTGGAGTGGTGTTGCGCTGTGGTTTTGACTTGGATTCCCCAATGACTTTCTGTCGATGGAACAAATATCTAAGGTAAGTCACTTTTAAGGAGGGAAGGTTTATTTAGGCTCATGGTTTCAGGCAGTTCAGTTCATGGTTAGTTGGCCCTGTTGCCTTGGGCCTGTGTCAGCATCATACTTCATGACAGGAGTGTGAGGGGGAAGAGACCTGTCCGCCTCACAGTAACCAGGAAATAAATAAAGAGCAAGAGAGAGGCAAGACCAGGGTCTCAGCATTTCCTTCAGGGCACACCCCCCAGTAACCGTATTTTCTTCCACTAGACCCTGCCTCTTGAAGGTTCCACCATCTCTCAGTGGTATCATGGGTTGGGGACTGAACCTTTTGCACATGGGTCTTTCAGTACACTTATCCATAGTATAAGAGCAAGTGATGCTGAACATCTGTGTGCTCAAAGCTGTTTTTATTTCATGCTTGCTTTAATGATGTGTTTCAAATTTCTGCTTAAGGACTTTGCATCTGAGGAATCTTTAAAAGTGATCAATGCATTTAAAAATATATGAATCTATGAGTTTTGATGTATTTAACATGGTGCAGGTGCTTGATGAATTTGTACTATTATGAACCCATAAATGTTAATGTATTTGCTGAGTTACAGTCTTTCCTCTCCTTGATGCTCAGATCGTCTCACCTTTGGCCAATGGAAGTCCCCACATGATACTCTCAGATGGATTTCTGGGCCCATTAGCACAAGCTACACTTAGAGAACTCTACCTTCCACCCTCATCCTTTCCATACAATTCCTTTTAGTTAGCCTTTAGTTTGGAATTCCATTTTAAAAATACAGCTCAATGATTTTTGTTAGCCTTTAGTTTAGAGTTATATTTTAATAATATAGCTCAATATATATGCATTTATAACTCATCCCTCTGTTAGGATAAGGGAAATATAATGTACACTTTCTTCTGAACCTTGCTTTTTTCCACACATTATATATATTCTGCAGATCATTCTATAGACGTACAATTGAACTTCTTCAGCATCCATCTCACAGCTGTGTACTACTACACTGTGGCCAGGCTCCTACTGATAGACACTCAAGTTATTACAGATGGTGCTAGAAGGGCTAGTCCTGCATATACATTGGATTATCTTTTACCTTTAGGATCAATTCTTAATAGTGGGATTTCTGGGTCAAGAGGTAAGTGCTCACGTACTTTTGCTAGATATTAACAAATTCCCCTTCACAGAGGTCCTACTATTTTACATTCCTGCCAGCAATGCAAACTTGAGAGGGCTCCTTTTCCGGTAAACTTGTTAGCAAAGCATGCTATTGATGTGATCTGAGAGAAGTAGTATTTTGGTGTAGTTATAATTTGTAGTGTTTTCCTATGAGTATCTTTTCATTTCTTTAAGAGCAATTAGCCTTACTTTTTCCTTGTCCCTTTCTGTAGAGTGACATCAATTTTTCCTTCTCAACTTCTTTGTTGTTTTGAGACAGTGTCTGATTATGTAGCCCAGCCTGATATTGACCTCACAACTGCCTCAGGCTCCAGAGTGCTGGGACTACAGGTTTATGCCATCATGCCGAGCTTTTCTCATTCTTGAGTTCGAGAAACTTTTTGTATATTAGAAACAACCCTTCATGATTTATGTTGCAAATACTTTTTCAGTTTATCATTTATTTTTAATGTTTTGCTAATAAGAGTCATCTGTAGGTAGTCAATTTTATCAATTATTTCTCCCTTCTTACTATTGAATTTTCAGTTATTAGGTGAGTGTATCTCACTGCCAGGATATAAAATCTATTAACTTGTTTTCTTATAGTAGTTCTATGATTTCATTTTTTTTTTTTTCCCCTCCGGTTCTAGGAACTGAACTCACGACCTTGCGCTTGCCAGGCAGGCGCTTTTGCCGCTGAGCTAAATCCCCAGCCCCTATGATTTCATTTTATACCTTTAAATCTTGTATCTTTTTAGATTTTATTTATGGCTTATGATGTGGGCAACAGATCCAGTGTTACCTTTTTACGTATGGCTATGCAGTTAGTAAAAGTCCATCTTTTCCTACTGACTTGAGATGTCACTGTTACTATATACAATGTTTTTATTTTATAGTATCAAGATTGAATATTGTGTTATTGAGATTATTATGAAATGAGACAATAAAGTTTGTAAAGGTTTTAGTCCCACTGGATCTAGAAAATATTTAAAAGTGGTGTTCTTCATACACTAGGAGCTTTGGAGTTAAAATTTGGCACATCTGCATATCACGATGATCTCAAGAAGTATAGAGACCACTGTCTCAGACTAGTCCAGGAGAAATAGTGAATCTAAAGAAACAAAACAAAAAAGACTACTGTTTGTTACGTTCTCAGTTACATATGTAATACTGGGTCTGCATTTCTGTATCTCATGTAATCCCTGTACTAATCCTCCATGGTGTGCTTTGCTACTTTTATTTTACAAACAAAGAAGTTATAAGAAGTGGTTCTATGGTTAAGACCAGCTACCACAATTTGGGAGTAAACAGTCAGGAGAAAGCAAAAGAGAGAAAGAGAGAGAGCCCCCTTATTGTAAATAGTATATTTGTTTGTTTTGTGTTTGTCTCTTGCAAAGGGGATAACTTAAGCTGAGAATATGATCTAGATTACTGAGACCTACCTATCTCAGTCAAACCACATTTGACGTCACAATTTTCTTTCACACATTTATTTTGTTCCTCAAGTCTGAAACTAATTCAAAAAAGTTTCCTGTCTTAATTAAAAACTGTGACCTATTGCTTTGTGGAGCTGAAAAAGACCTGGCAGAATTATTTTCTTTTTCAAAAGTCAATATAGATGTTCCTCCAAAGTTAGACGCCCCCTAGAGTTAGGTAAGGTACTTTTTTAAAAAAAATAAGCTGTGAGGCATCCCAGGAGAATATCAAAAGTTTTTGTTGCATTAATTTTGGTTTGTGTCTATCTGAAAACAAGGCATAGAGCAGAAAAGGTAGGAAAAAATTAGATATTTCAACAGGTCAGGAGTAACCATGAGCCTGACAAATTTCTCTGAATACATTAGAGGAAGGAAGAGAGCCTCTCCCTTAGAAGATGCAAGATTGTAAAAATAGAACTGCATTTCATCTAGATCAAAAACCCCATTATAAATATAGCAAATTACCATGACTTCAGCTGAGGGAAGTAATGGGACATTAGGTTGTTGGGTTAAATTAGAGGACTCATAATGATCAGCAGTTCAATCTCCATCCTTCTACAGGGAGCCTCACGAGTGATGGGTGCTCAGTCTGTGGATGGCATCCTCTTTTCTCCCTTATTTTCACCTAGTGATAGGAGATACAGTTGATGCTGGGAGTGAGAAAATTTGGGGGGGTGGTTTTTTTTTTTAGTTAGGTAAGCATCTTTTTCACTTAATTTCTAAAAGGCAACACTAAGAAGGACCATTAGTAGAGATTTATCAGTTGTTCTTTGGCTCTAACTTACAACAAGCAAGAATTGAGTATTAAACGCTCTCTCAGGGATTTGCATTACATGTGGGAGGCCGGATCCTGCTTTAGTCTCTCTAGGAGCCAAGGGCCCATGTTCTAATCCCAGCTGTTATACTCATTAGTTAAACTTTGATGGCTGATTTAACCTCCTTTAGTCTATAGAAAAACAAAAACCAAAAAACGGCTCCAGATCCATGTTTCCCAAAGTGTGTCCTTGAATAATAACTTTTTATAAAACAACTGCTCTATAATTTAAAAGCTGCTCCATTTGGGAGTTGAAAGTCATTGTAAACCCAATTTACCTGGCTGAAAAAAAAAAGTGTGGAATCTTTATCATACTTAAGAAGTTCTGTCATCATATTGTCTCCCTAGTGTGAGAAGCTGAAAGAGTCAATGTGATCCAAAATGTACAATAGATATTGTAAAATGGGAAGAAACTTCAAAAGGAAAGAGAAACTGGTTTAGAGTAAGAGGAAAAAATAAGGAAGGGAAAAGAAAAGGGAAAATATATATAGAGAGACAAAAGATAACAAAGATAGCTGTGCTGCTGATTTCTTTCAGTTCATTCAAGGGATAGGTTTGTGCTAATAATGTTTGGACAACAAAATGCTGACATTCTGTACTCTAAGTAACTGACTTGAAGATAACAGTAGGCAGTGTGTTGACCGTTGTTACCTTCCTATCACACTGTTTCGGAATTTTGTTATGTTTTTTGTTTCTTTTTCTTTAAAATAAAAATAAAAAAGAAGTTCTGAAATATTCAGCAGCTTAACAGAATCATCAAGGACTCAAATTCGTAGTGTCTTTTTCCTTCGGCATCCTCAGCACAGCAGCTCAGATTCCTGGTGGGATGAAATGGTGGTTCTAGGCATTATTTGCAGTTACGACAATGTCTTGAGGAAAGGAGGATGCTTTGGTTCTGAATATTGCTTTTTATCTCTAACAAAATAATTTTTCCTAGAATCCCACTGAGAACTTCCAGTCACATCTCAATGGCCAGCCTTGATTTAGGTGCCATGCTTTGGCTGACCCCTGGCAAGGCGAATGGGACTCCCATGAGTGAGTCAAACAGTCAGGCTTCTCTTTGGGCAGGGGATGAGTCTTCCTCCCCTGATGCCCGCTACTGCACAATGTGGGGAGGGTACTAGAGCAAAATCGCAGATCCCCTGCAAAGGAGGAAGAAGTTGGCAAATGTTATTGGGCGACACCTATCATGAATTGCTCTACCCCTTTATCCATGGTTTTCACATGTATGATTCAATGAGCCTCAGATGGACAATATTTGAAAAAAATCGTGTATGGAATTTTTCTTGTCATTATTCTCTAACCAATAAGGTGTGACAAATATTTACGTAGCATTTATGTTGTATTTTGTCTTATAAGGAATCTAGCAGTGATTTAAAGTATACAGGAGAATATGTGTGGGCTCTGGGCAAGGACAATACCATTTCATACAAGGGACTTGAAACCCCACAGATTTTGGTAGCCTGGAGAAGGAAGGTGAGGTCCTAAAACCAATATACTGCAGATACTGAGGGACAATTGCAAATGGTTAAGTAAGTTTGAGCAGTTCTGGGTTAAACAAAGCTAAACAAATTTCTTTCTGAGATGATCTCTCAGAGCTATGCTATGCTAACATGTAATACTTTGAGGAGGAAATAACAATGGTCAGTATTCTCAAACTTACTTGACCCCAGAAAACTTCTCCCTCCTATCAAATACCTATTAACATTTCTAGGACAGTAATATTCCTCGAGATGCAATTTAGGAAATGCTTAACGCAAACTCTAAGATCTGCCCCAACTATAATATTCTATGATGACCTATAAAACTAGATTGAGATTTGTTGGGATGAAAGAAATCCATAACTATAGCTATTTTATTGTTCAGGTTCTCAGCACGGTACAGATGATACACTAAAGTTGGGGAGATTTAATACATACACTAGATTCAGAGTTTTGGGGGAGTCACAAAAGATAGTGCAGTGTTTTCTTGTGCCTGATGAGGAGAAGGAAGCAGGTAGAGTGCAGAAGCACAGGCAGAGGGAACTGCCTAAGCAGAGTTGTGGCTCCAGTTGGGGGGACACAGTCAGTGCAAGCACCCATGTACCTCAGGGGCTCCCTGCTCACCTGATGGTGCTCCATATTTTCAAATTGGAAACCAGTTGTTGTAGCCCAAAGTATCAGTCTTTTAGGGAAAATTAAGGATATTGAGCACAGCTCCACAACATCTCATTCCGTCTTAAATGTCCCCCTGGAGTCATTTTAATAGTAGAACGGACAGAGCCTGGAAGCCAGACAGACCTGGATCAGTACGTGGGTCCCGCCCTTAGCTGTTCATTCTTCTAAGTCATTTTGCAGAGTTTCCAGTATCTTTTATGCCTCAAGTATGCGCTATAAAACATACGTTGCAAGATTTTTCTGATGACTAAGAACACATTTATCGCCAGGAGATGAGGGTCACTTTGAACACAGCACTGATAACTCAGTCGTCCTTTGACATTTTTTTTTTCTCCATCAAGCTTCTCCAACCTGTTGGAATCACTCAGGAAGGATGTGAAAACTGCAGATTTCAAAACTCCACTTCAAGACTCCTGAGATCACTGGGACAACCCTGGGGATCCCATTTTACGGTTTCCTCTGAGGCGAGTCTGACAGTTCTGAGGCTAAGTGTGCTTCCTTCAGCCCCGTGAGCTACTGAAATTTGGCACTTTTGTTTGGCCTCTTGAAAGAAGGAACTGGAGACAAGGCAGCAGGCACAGTTAACATCATTTGCAAACATAAACTCAAAGTCAGCCAACACAGAATCAAGGTTGAATCAAGTAGGACTAGCAGCATAGCTACTGGGAAAATGTCCTTCCCTCTGTGCTGTTTGCAGAATACTGATGGGTTGGTGAATTATTTCTCACTCGGCGCCACCACCGAACTATAAATAACAGCCTAATCCTGACGTCTTTACTCATTGAGACCCTTGGAAAACAGGACATCTGGCTCATTCCCATTCTCTCAATCCCTTCCGTTCTCGTCTTTGGCTAAACCTTTGACAACCAATTTAGTCCTGAAGTCCTTAAGCCAGGTACAGCAAAGCAGTCATCCTTGGCAGGGTGGGCAGGGAAGATGTGAAAGCCCCGGGGACTGGCAAAGAGGCAGTGTGCCTCAGTTGGTATGTGCCCAGCATGTGTATGAGCCTGAAGGGGTGAGACGTGTTATCCTGCAGCAGTGTGTGTGTGTGTGTGTGTGTGTGTGTGTGTGTGTGTGTGTGTGATGTGCATGCATGTGTTCCCTGAGGGCTTCCACACATCGAGGCCACCTCATACCAGGGTCCAAGCTCCTGCTTATTGAGCAGAGCAGCCACAGTACAAAGAGTAGGGAGGGGAGTTGAGCCTGAGCAGGAAGAGGGGGACATGGTGAAAAGAAGGGGATGGTGCAGAGGTGGGAGATATACTACATCAGGGTAGTCTGTAGAATAATTAGCCTGTGTTCTGCAAAAATATGCAGGTCATGAAAGTATGGACAACACTGAGGAACTGTTCCACGTTGAATGAGGCAAAAGTGAAATGTGATTCTGAGCTGGGTCCTTTGGGACAATAGAGACAACTGGAAAATCTTGAATGGCATCTGCATCTGAGGACTATTACTAGAAATAAAATAATGCTCATTTCCTGATTTTGATGGTTGCCTTGTAGTTAGAGAGGAGAGTGTCCTAGTTTGTTGGAAAGACATGCTAAGGCACCTAGGGGATGATGGGTTTCATGTCACCTCACCCTCTGATGAAGGCAGAGCAGACTATCTTTACACATTTCTATAATTTTGTGATTGTTAAAAAAAGTATCAAGAGAGAAAAAAACCCCAGCAGAGCAAGACTCACAAAAATTACAAGCTCATAATATGTGTATGTGTTATTTTAAAATTAGTTTATTCAGGCCCAAACAATGAGAAATTTTCCACAGGATGAAGGAGTTTGCTAGAATTTAAATAAACTGATAGAAGAAAAAGATGTCACATGTCCCTTTTTCCATATGAAAGCAGCTGATATAACTCTGACCACATTGCTAGAAAAAACAAATGCTCTTTATTAAAGAATTTTTAAAGCCCATTTATTAAGTCAATGCTCTGTTGAGCAAGCTTATTAATTGGTTTTGTACACGCTTTTGTTATGGAATAACCAGGTGAAACACTCTGTCTATCAAGTCAGCACCTGTGATTTAGCGAGAAAGCCTAAGGAGTTCGGATATTTGGGACTCCTTTGAGCTGACTCCTTGTGTCCTAGGAGCAGATCTTGGGGCCTTCGTGCCCATCTGACTCAGTCACTGTGACATGCCAATCCTCTTGGATGCCCATGTACTGGTTGTGTCTTCTTAATGCCCATCTTAAAAGCAACCTCTTAGGCTTGGAGATCTCTTTTAGGTACTTTTCATCCTAAAATTCTTTATTTCATGACCAGAAGGATTTTTTTCTTAAAAAAAAGTTTTTATGTAGTTCCACTACAGCCCAGTATCTAAAAATTTTCATTCCCTTCAAGATAAGATGTTAGCTGGTCACACTGACCCTGATCCACAAGGCTTAGTGGAATCCTCCTGTTCTGAAGTAGTGTCAGTCATAATAGGTTCTTTCTTCTTTTTTTAAGTAGGAACTTTCCGTCCATGGTTTGGTCCTCATGTTTTTGCCCTGGCTCAGAGGACACCACCATACATTGCACTCAAATGACATTTTTCATGTCACAGTAATTATCTCTTTCCCACAGGCTGCTCCACTTACAACGATGTTGCTCTGAAACCCTATCTTCTGTCACAGAGAGCTCTACACAATACTCTCCGGGATGTGAGTGCACTTTTCTTGTAATTGTGACTGTTGTACCTTCTCCTTCTTTGTTTTTGATCCTGAGTACAACTTCACAATGTAGTTCATGCAACGCTTAGAGTGGGAAGCTGCAAGAAAAACATATTAAAGTTGAGTATTTCTCTTGAAGAACAAGGCATCCATGTATTTGAAACACTTTGCTTAGACATCATGTTTTTAGATCTATATGTCAATGTCTTATAAAATGTAACCTAAAATTTTTTAATGCAAAGAAATTGTCTGAAAGCGTTGTTATATCTCTAATTTCTAAAAGTCTTGTTACATAAACAACATACTAATAAACCTGGTATAAAATATACAGACATTTCTACCACAGAATGACATATGTGTTCCCCTCATCAAAATCACATATTAAAAACAACAGGGTTCATGGGAAAAATAGCTTGGGGTAGACCCTTCAAAGCCTATGCCTCTGTGTACTTAGAGGCTAGAGGCAATGTAGGAAGCAACCCAACTGACACCTGATACTCTTCTTCAGTCTGTAACTAGACAAACTATAGTTTACACACATTTCCCCTTCCTCCCCAGAGTTCACACAGTCAGTTCACTGTCACGCTCTCTTCCTTGAGCTCACCTGTTCTCTCTCCATTTCACTCTAATAGGTCAAAACCAAAACAAAAGGCAGAGGTGTTATAAAAGACCAGATTCCTACAAAAATCTCAATCAAACCAACAAAATCAAGCAGTAGAGCTTACTACATATCTCCTGGCAGGTAGAATAATTTGCACAGGGGACATAAAATGATTGGGAAGCATAAAAATATTACTTTTTTATAGAACTAGCTTCTGCCTACTGGACCTTCATTGTTAGCTCACGGGCACACGCGTACACACACACACACACACACACACTTTCCCTTCTCATTTAGGTTCTTTTCATTTTCTTTACATTTCTTTTCATCTTTGGATGGCAACAAAGGCATTCAAAAGCCCTGAAAGATTAAAGCTGGTATTCATTTAATCAACACAAATTTGTCAAATACTCCATTTGTTTGTTTGAGGTTTTTGTTGTTGTTGTTTATTTTTTGAGACAGAGTCTCACTGTGCAGTCCAAGGTGGCCTTGAACTCACTAGGTAAACCAGGCTGGTCTTGAACTCATAGCAATCCTCCTGTCTCAGCCTCCTGAATGCTAGGATTACAAGTATGTGCCACCATGCCCAGCCTAGCACTAAATTTGTGCCAAGCCCGGTACTAGGATCCAGGAATACAGCATAAATCCAATTCCACCGGAAGTAATATTGTAGTAGCTAAATCAAAACACCAAAAATTACAGGGTAGTGTAAGAAATGCTTCACTCATAAACATGTATGTCACATACTCTGGAGCACAGGCAGGACACATGGTGTCCCCATGTATGACAGCAATTAGGGATGGCTTCCACTACATGAATTTAACTAGTGATTTAAAAGATGAGCATTGTTCAATTTTATAAGATGACATAAGAAATTGACTTTCTAGTTCTAAAAATTAAACTTTGATTTTCTTTTTCCTCTTCTTAAAGGCAACTGATGAATGAACCTCAGTTTGCAAATCTCAGCTCACACAGTTGACTTACTTTGACCATTTTGCTCTTGGGAAGATGTTTCTTCGTTATTTGACCTTGATCTGTAACTTTCTAAAGTGTGTTCTGAAATTTCATTTTCTGAAAGAAAAGAAGATTAAGACACTGATTTCTGATGCCACAGATGCCACCTATATGTTGAAATGTAAGTTTGAATAAGAAGACCTCAGTTACAGTATACAGCTGATCAGCCCCTCCTGTACCTCCTGTCTGCATTAATTCAACACATTACTAGGATCTCTGCAGCTACCATCAAGGCACTATAAGAGCCGTGGAAGGGAAATGACAACAAAAGAGAAGCAAGTATTGTCTTACAGGAAGGGACAACTGAAATAGCCCCCAAAGAATGATGGGGGTGAATCATCAGTGAGAGGTTTTGAAACAATATTATGGTGTTTGCCTATTGTGCAGGTGGGTACAACTGAAAAATGAGGCCTTGTCTCCAGGTTTATTTATGATGAGAACATCAGTCCATGTGACTACACACTGATCAGAAACTAGCCAGGGTGACACCATTCAAAGCTGTTCCAAGATGTGTTTTGCCTTGAGATGTAAGGAGCTCTCTGTTACCTGAGGTGTCTTAGCCTTAGGTGGCTACATTATCACTGTCCAGCAGCACTATAATGTGTACCACATGTGGAAATTAAAATACTCTGTGGCAGGAGGCGTGGCTCAGCGGTAGGGTGTTTGCTTCGCACATTCAAGGTCCTGCGTTCACTCCCCAGTGTGCACATGCACACATACACACATGCATACACAAATTCTAGCAGTCATATTTAAAAAGTAAAAAGAAGCAGATGAAACTAACGTAATAATATATTTTATTTAACTGGTACACCTGAGAAATCATTATTCGGTACATTCTGGTGCATATTTGTGTGTATGTCCTGCATCTTACAAGCGGGGTGTGTGTTTTGTGCTTATAACCATCTCATAAGGACTAGTCACATGTGAAATGCTCAATAGCTATATAGGCCTAGATAACAAATCAGAGTTAAAGAGTAGATTTAATTACAACACCTGGTTATAAGAAGAATAGAGTAGGCGTATTCTAAATAACTTCGGAAGTCCCTTCCTGCTCCAATACGTGTTATGTCTAACGCACTTTAATAGTATCTTCTATACTAGCTCAATAACTTTTGTTTCTAATGATAATTTTTAGTTAGAATGCTCAGGGAAGAATTACTAAGATATCACGGTTCAGTGAAAAGATATCATGGTTCTTAAAAAAGTAGGAATGGGACCAAAACAGTCTGTTACATTCACCCTTTGTCCACAACTAGCATACAAACTTTTGACAGCAAGGACCTGCTCTGTGTTATGACAGATGTGTCCCTAGTGTCTGGAGCATACTATGCCTGGCACATAGTATGCACTCCACTGAATTCTGAATTCTGAATGAATGAATGAATGAATGAATGGGCTCTCCATTTTGTATCCTTTTGAGAACAGAAGTGTCTATAATTTAATGCCAACTCCCAGAACTACTTCAGTTTCTGTGGGTCATACCCTCTCTCTGACCACAGGTCCTGGAGAGTCACAACTCTTGTTTTCAGCAGCTAACAGAAAGCTCGAATGGACAGAATTCCCTTTTTGTGTAGCCAATCTGTGCAGCGTCTCACAGCCTCCCTTGGGCTCTGACCCACTCACCCTTCTTCCAGACCACGTGAGCCTTCCGCAGCTTCATTATGAAGAGCTGGACTATGATGAAGAGGATGAAGATGAGGAAGGATACAAGCGTGAGCAGCAGGATGCCACTTTTCTTCCTTGCCAACCCTATGTACTGAGGATTCGCTTCTGTAAGGAAAATGAAAGGATTTTAGGCGGTTTGTGGTTTTCTCCCCACTGAGGAATATATACAGTACTTTCATGCTACGGTATAGGCTGAAAGATAGCTCAGGTAAAGACAGGGAGCAGAGTTTACTCCTGGAGGGAAAAAGCACATAATGCTCATGCTGTGAATGCAAAGCAATTCAAGAAGAAGATCTGAAAAAGGTTTTAACTGACATTGTATTGAAATAGTAGTCATTTCTAGAGGAAGCATGCAAATATTGACTTAATTTTTTTTATAAAAATGAAGTCCGGTAGCAAGAGATTGTTCAAGAGTTTGGAAAACTTTGCAAATAATGTGAAAATTCATTTATCTTGGCTAGGTGAAATGTGGTTCACATAAAGGAATTTGGAGATATACTAGATGAGCTCTTAAAAGTCTTTCTAAACCTAGAATTCTGATCCTGTGAAACAATCCTCTGCCAACGTGCATTAACACAACCAACAAGCAATCAGGAGGGGCACAGCAGGGCTGGGGATATGCACAGAGAGCGCTTGCCTAGGGTTCTACCCTCAGCAACACACACACACACACACACACACACACACACACACACACACGGCAGAGGAGGAAGTGGAGTTAGCTGATGAACAAAGAAACAGTGGTTAGAAAAATAACAGAACCAGTCAAAGTGGGTCCAGTACTGCATGAGGCAACTGGTCCAGAAGGGACAAGAGAGTAATGAACTCCTTATGTCACAAAGCAAAGAGATCAAGAAAAATGAGGACTGGAAAAGGCCGCTGGATTTACCAACTAAGAGGTTAAAATGTCAATTGTTGCTTCTAAATGTGGTGGTGACACTTACCACTGGTCAAGTCAGAGTCTTGAGTGGTTTGTTCTTTTTCTTCCTTATTAAACTCTGGCGTTCTGGAATTTTCCGTTACTGAAACTAAAGTGGAAGAAAATAAGACATGATACAGGCGCGTATCATGCACATGTGGTTTGTAGATATAAAGTCGTTTGAATGTCTCCTCCAAAACTCATGTTGATGTCTAATTGCTACATGAAGAAATGTTCTGGTCATGAAGGATCCACCTTCATGAAAGGGCTGATGACATTATTGCAGCGTGAGCTCCTTACCAGGCGACAGGGTTCGCTTTTTTATCCTGACTCCTGCCCTGTGTTTGCTGCAGCACAAAAGCTCTTGCCAGATATGGTCCCTCGATACTGGACTTCTCAGCCTCCAAAGCTGTAAGCCAATAATTTCTGCTCATTATAAATAACCTAGTCTGTGGTATTCTGTTGTAGCAAAATGGATTAAGATTCACTACACACATAACAGTATACTCTTCCCAATGCAGCTGTGGAAACCAAAAAGAACATTTAAAAAGAGCAGTGAATCTGGGCATGGTGGCACATGCCTACAGTGTTGGCATTCAGGAGGCTGAGGCAGGAAGATTGATGTGAATTTGAGACCAGCACCTGGGCTATCTAGTGAGTTCAGGGCCAGGTTGGACTACATACTGAGACCCTGTCTTGGGGGGGCGGGGAGGAGAGAAGAGAGCTAATTTTAATTACTGGTTTCTTTTTAAATTAACACATAGTAATTATACATATAGTAATTACACAGTAATTACACATTTATGGCTACAGTGTAATGTACACACAGTGTATAATGATCAAATCAGGCTATCAGCTTTCTTTACCATTTCCATCTCTGTATCATTTCAGTGTCTTCAGTTGAAACCTCTGAGCTCTTTGCTCTAGTTTTTCATAAATATACAATATGTTACTATCAATTGCAGTGATCCTATCGTGCTATAGAACACCTAAACTAATTCCTCCCACTTCATAGACTTAGCTACCCTTTACCCAGCCTCTCTCCATCGTGTCGTTCCCCCCCACCCCCCCACCTCCCACCCCCCACCCCTGCTTTTCTTAGCCTCTAGTAATTACCATTCTACTCCCTTCTGCTCTGGGATCAGATTTTTGGCTTCTGCATATGAAAGAGAACTTGCAGTCCTTGCTTTTCTGGGTCTGGCTTCTTTTACTTCGAGCTACTGATTTCTTGCAAAAGTTTTTTTTTTTTCCCCTTGGTACCAGGAATCGAACTCACGACCTCGCACTTGCCAGGCAGGTGCTGTGCCTCTGAGCTAAGTCCCCAGTCCCTATAAGTTGTTGCAAGTGATCAGTCGCCCTTTGCCTTGCTTTTTAAAAAGGCAAACACTTATTGAACATCTATTAGGTGTGGAGCCTTAAACTGAACACCGGGTGTCAGTTTTTTCTTACATCTCTGAGAAAACAGAAGTTTTGAGCAATTAAAAAATGAACTAAATTCCTCCACCAAATACACAACAGTTACAACTTTGAAACTGAGTTTTTTCCTAACACCAGAATTCCAAAGTAAAAGCATTATTTCGTACTTTCTCCCTGAGTCAGAACTACTGGGGAGACGATCTTTAGGGTGCCCAACGATACTATTTAGTGCCTAGAAACCGGATGCCAGGCTTAGGGATAGGGAGCCTACAGCCTTCGACTCATGTTGAAATGGAGGCTCCGTTGTCGTCCAAATTCCCCACTGCTTCTCCTTTAGAAGTAGGATGCAATATGCTTTTGCTAGATAAGACAAATTGCAAAAGGGAGAGAAGGCTTTTTCGGATTCATTGCTTATCTTCCCGTGCCTTTTTTTTTTAAGTCTGTCTTTTCAGATCATTGCACAGCGCCACTGTGTGGACCCCGAGGGGATAAAGCCTCCCGTTTTTTCTGCCAAAATTGGGTGTTATTAACAGTAATAAAACTGCAAAAATTGAAAGCTGAAAGGAATTTTAGAAACTATATTTCTTAAACCCTGTGTTGTATATGAACACGCAGAGCAGAAAATTGAGTCACTCAGGAGTGGTGCAAGCCAATTTAAAGACAGCCAGATTCTAAACACGTTTTAAAATATTGGATTATTAAAGCAAGTGATGTGGCTGTTCCACTTCATCATACTTTCAATTTCCATAGCCCTTCAGAAATTGTACGGACATATTGTATTTATCAGTGTTTTCTAAAAGCCCAAACATTTACTTTTAAATATTATTCAGGATACACGTTTTAAAAAATATGATCTGATGCTCAGAACTATCAACATGATAATGATCTGAAAGCACTCATCCTACTAAATAGAATTATTATAGAGACACTACATAAAACAGAAAGAGAACACATAGAAATTTCTCTCTTCCTGAATGAGGCTCTCTTGCTCAAAACACCAAAATAAATTCATTCATTCATTTGTTCATTCAGCATATTCTGGGTGAAATACAAAGTTAAATTAAATATGGGATCACTGACCCAAGTTAACCATCTAGTGGACTCGCTACCTAAAAAGCTGAAATGATAATCCAGGTTTTCTGAATTCTTCTTATACTTTAATCCTAGCATCAACAATGGTCCAAGTGCTTGCTAACCAAGTGAATGACCTGCCCTCAAAGGTGATTTTGTTATTCAGCGACAGCACCAAATTCCCAGCTTCTCCTATCTTGGATCACTGATATCAAGTCTTTGTTTTGTGTTTGCTCTGTTCTGGATGGGAAAACAAAGAACAAGCTTCCTCATGAATGGATTCAACTTTGTCCTTTGGCACAGAGTCACCATCCCTGTGTGTGTGTGTGTGTGTGTGTGTGTGTGTGTGTGTGTACACGCGTGCACATGTATCTTGAGCAGAACAGTGCAGAACAGCACTGAGATGACAAGGCATTATGTTACTCTGGATCCCATCCACTAAATACGCTCTACTTACGAGGCCCTGTTCCAGCACTCCACAAAACTAGTGCTACTTGAATGGTCTTATTTGAAATTAAAATTTAAAAATTCTGAAAAACAACATTAGAAATGGAATCTTCCCAAGTGGACATGGTTTCTCTCTTAAAATCTCAGTGATTTGGACACTTACCAATACTCGTGGGCTGCTGAGGGTCCGGAGAGGAGAGAGGGCTTTTCTCTGGAGCATCCGAAGCTGTCTCCCGATCCGTAACTAGGAAAGAGGAAAAACAAAATTCTGCAACTACAGAGAGCAGTTTTACCCACATTGTGCTCAGGAAACAGAGTGTGTTTGGCTGCTACCTGCTTGTGGAGATTGTGCAGAAACCTCAGAACTGTGTGTTCTGCGGCTCCTGCTCTGGTTTGCGAATCTGTACCCTGCTGATTGCCCATCTGCTAACCTGCCTGGCTCCAAAGTGCAGCATGCTGGACTCTGCATGGTGGTGCCCTTGGCAGTAGCAGGCAGAGAGTATTTTCTGTCTCCGTCTGTACACATCTTTCTTCCCGCGCCCTGGTCTGTCCACCCATCCACATCTCTGTCTTCCTGTGTATCAGTTAGGTGTCTCAGCAGTCAGCCTCAGACTGGGTTTAATTCCAGGGCTGCTATCTGCTTACTCATGAGTGAGTTGGACAAGATGTTTAATTTATCTAATATTTTGTTTTCTCCTGATTTGTGACTAGACATATCGACAGCATTTACCTCTTCAAGTTTTTGTGTGAGCATTACTAAGTTCATTCATATAACACTTTTAATACAATACCTGGCTCTTTATTAAGCACAATGCTTACTACATGTTATTCTATAATGTAAACAAAATGCTTAGGGATGGTTCCAGAGGTTCACCTTAGGATTTATTTAAACAGTCTCTGAACTGGCCTGCACCCAGGAAGCATGAAATGACTTGTGATTAGACAGACTACAGGCTAAAATGTGCCCTGTGATCACAAAGACGCTGAAAAAATGGAAGAAAGAAGAGGGCTATTGGCAATGAAAACTTGAAAGCTAAGCAAATAGAAATATCGTAAGCACATTATAAGTAACTAATATTGGAAAATCTGGGAACACACAGCATAAAATCATTACTAATGATCAAAGTCTTCTAACATAGAGTTTACATAATGTGAATTCAAATAATTTTATACTTATGTACAAACAAGATACATATTTCTACAAACTAATTATTTACATTTAAAACTGATTTTATCCTTTTAATTAACAAACTGCTAAATAACTATAAAAGACTTATTTAAACTGGATGTTGTTGGCTGGATGTGGTGGCGCACACCTGTATTCCCAGCACTTGGGAGGTTGAGGCAGGAGGATCGTTGCGAGTTTGAGGCCAGCTTGGGCTACAAAGTGAGCTCAAGGCCAGCCTAAACTGCATAGCAAGACCCTGTCTCAAAAAGACCAAAAAAAAAAAAAAAAAAAATAGACTGGATGTTGTTGGCCAGAATGGTTAGACTTCTGCTATTCAGTGATGTATCCACACAATTTATTTAAATTTAAATTAATTAAAACTAAGTAGTATTAAAGTAGTATTAAACTATAGCTGTTCAGTTGCTCTAACCACATTTCAAGTTAAAATTCTGGACAATCTGTATCTACCACCGTGAAACTGATAGCTTCTAAATACCTGACAACTTTGGATGAGATCAGTGACGTTAACTAATGTGATTTTGATACTAAAATGTGTCCACGTTTGAAAGATCTGCATACCTCAGTATTTTCCAAATGGCTAAGTCATAACGTTTTGAAAAGATCCTTGCAAAGTGCAAGCTGGTTCAATGGATTAATATCAGAGTATTAAATGTCCATTTCTATGGTTCCAGGATCCACATAACAACCAACCTTTAAGAAACTACCCCTTGCTTGGCATGGTGGCTCACACCTGTAATCCCAGCACTCTGCAAGGCCGAGGAAGAAAGGTTGCAAGTTCAAACCCAGCAGGGGCAATTTAGTGACTTAGCAAAATCCTGTTACAGAATTTAAAAAGAAATAATTTAAAAGGTTGGAGATGTAGCTCAGTGTGAAGGCCCTGGGTTCAATTCTCAGTATGAAAAAGTAATAATGAAAAAGGAAAAGAAAAAAGAAAAGAAAATTACCTCTTGTTGAGTTTTGGTGTAGCATCAAAGAAGAATGTCCATAATTATCCAACAAATTCTATTAAATACTGTTTCCTGGGCTAGGGATGTATGGTAGCTAATAGTGGAGCACATGTCTAGCATGCAAGAGGCCCTGGATACTATCCCCAGCATTATAGACATACATAGATAAATACAAACAAACACTCTTCCATTTTCCAACTGCATATCTGTGTGAAGTTGAATTATTTCATATGTATCCTTCAAGCAAAACAATATATTGGAAAAGACTGAATGCAAAAAAGAGATTTTTCTGAACATAAAATGATGCCACTTTTCTTGCTAATTTTTTTGAGTGTTACAAAATATAGTTATATTTTTTCAAAAGACATGACATGTCTATTAACCTGTAGCAGATTATTTTAAATAAAGAATAAATATGTATTTTAAATGTTTCAGTTTTAATAAATTAGACCCGCATGTGTAAACGTCATATTGTCTCCCTAGTGTAAGAAACTGAAAGAGCAAATAAAATCCAAGTGGTACAATAGATATTGTGAAAGGGAAAGAAACTGCTCAAAAGGAAAGAACAAGTTGGATGAGGGAAAGGAGAAAAAAAAGAAGAAAAAGAGAAAAGAATATATATATATACACAAGATAACTAAGACAATTTTTTTGTTGTTTTGTTTTTTTCTGGTACCGGGAATTGAACTCACAACCTTGCGCTTGCCAGGCAGGTGCTGTGTGGCTGAGCTAAATCCCCAGCCCCAAGACAATTGTACTACTAATTTCTATTGGCTTATTGAAAGGAACAGTTAATGCTTAATTTTTTTTGATCAATTTTGCATGCCTACATCTGGTAATCTGAATAACTACTTTGAAAATAATGATACGCAATATAACAACCATTGTTGGTTTCCTATCATCTAGTTTTGCAATTCTGTATCATATTAATGTTTTTGTAGTCTCTTTAAAATATAAATAAATAAATAAATGTTTCCGTTTTAATTTCTGATAGGTACTGTTGACAGGTCTAACTCGGGCAAATACAAGTTTTTAGGGGTCCCCAACTGTTTTAAGAGTGCAGAGGGCTGCTGACATCAACAAGTTTGAGAACTATTGCTCAATATTTTACGAATTTCATCTGCAGGAAAGGAATAGTAAAGAAAAAGAAAAAACAAGAGAAATACATAATTCTAAAGAGAGTCTCATGTATTCCTGCTGTTCTGTTCACAGCCAACATTGTCCCCTCTGAGACAGTCTCCTGGCGCCCAGTTCCTACCCTACAGAGGGTGGAGATGAAATTACAAGAACCCTTACTTGTAACCATGCTGTAGCATCCCCAGATAGTCATTTTCTTAGCTGACTGGAGAGCAAAATGCTTGTAGTATCTGCATACTAAACACGCAGCTTACCAAGGGAAAAAAAGACAACGGGCAAACGGAAGCCACCAACGGCTCACACCTCCGCTCCTTGTGGAATCCTTGCTGGAGCTCTGACAGTGGGGGCTAGATACTTAACAGTGAGCTCACAAATGAAAGTCATCTCAACCTATGACCAGAAATATTTACTGATTTAAATCATATTTAATATGATTTTGAGTCATATAAAACGATGGTCTTAGAGGAGAAAATATGTTTATAGCTGGCTTGACCTACTGCTAAAATGTCAAAATACAGTCTTTCCTCCAATAGCTCTGCTTCTCTTGCTGAGGAATCCAAATGTCTTCAGGAAGCCTTTGCATGGGTGGTCTCCTCCCCCACATGCCCCGTGATCCAGTTCCTGTGGTGGAGGTGGAGGCGTGGGCGGGGGTGAATCATCCTGGGGTTGGGGTGTGCGCAGGATTACAGTACAGCCTGGGCTGCGGGTTGTGAGTCTTCTACTGCAGCTTCCTCCATAAACTGCTTCCACTTTGGAGAGGAAGTCCGCACAGAAAGCCCGCGGCAGCACGCTGGGTCCTGTTGACCCCAGCAACAGCCCCAGCTGGCAGTGTAACAGCCTTATCTGGTGAGGCTCTCCTACACGAATTTGCCCTTCCCTTGCCAGTTATTTCATCGGATGAAAGAGATTGCTCAGTAAATGCACCACTATCCACCTTTTTTCCTTTTATTGAAGTCATTCCCTCTAGTCCACAATCTCTTTTTATACTCGGAAGTACCTGATAAAAGAACTCAAGTTCAGAGTTCTACTAATTGCAACCTTGTGATTCATGCCACTTACACGATACCTCTTGGCTCAAAGAGATGTTTACAGCTTACAAATTATTTCTTACACCTTTGGGGGAATCTTCAAAATAGTCACATCAAAATAAATCTGAAGAGTAATCTTGTCTTAATGTAAGTAGGAGAGGTTTTTTTAATACATAAGAACATAAACTGATATTTTGGGAAGTTTATATATTTTCAGTTAATATTTCCTTTTGGGTCAAGTATGGGTAAGCTTCATGTGATTTCTCCAAAAACACAAGTGCAATAAAACTATTCAAAGTTAAGTCATGCTACCTGTCATTATAAAAAAAAGCATTGTATTATTTGTACCAGGTACTCTGCCAGGGCTTAGGCCCAGCTTGGATTCTTCTAAACACTGGGACACTTTTTTTTTTTTTTTTGTACCGGGAATCGAACTCAAGACTTTGCACTTGCCAGGCAGGCACTTATGCCACTGAGCAATATCCCTGGCCCAGGGACACGTGCAATCCTGCTCCCAGCTGGGGAAATTTCAGTTACTGCAGGAATGTGTTATTAATAAGAGGAGTGTCATAAACTATAATCTCACTATAAAAGACTTTGCCTGCTCCACCTAAATTTTTGATAGAGTGATATTAAGGTAAATTAAAATAATTGAAGAGGATCATGGGTTCTTCTTACCCAAATCTTTAAAGTGGAAGGGCACAACCAGCTTTCTCCCTTGCAGGCCTTGGTGTCGGATGATGCAATCCACGGTTGAGTTTTTGCTAAAGGAGTGCACCATTAGCGTGCTGGTGGTATTACATTTCTTTCCATCCGCTTCAAATTTATGGTGGGTTTCACCTATGTAGCAATTTAAAGAGATAGAAATAAAAGATTATGGGTGTGTAAAGCTGTTGGATGGGTTTGGTTCATTACGGTCCAATACTTTGACTTCAAGACAACATACTTGGGTCTCTAGCCTCAGCCAACCACCTTGTATGTCGGGGCTGTAGTTGCAAAGGCAAGCGGGTGAACAGGAGTAGATAGGTTTCTACTGACCCTTCACCTGCAGACCCTTCACCACTGGCAAAAAGGCAACGCTCCCCGTGGTCACACAAGAAGGACAGTTTGATGTTGCTATGAAACACAGGAGCTTACTCGGGTTGTGTGAGTAAGGCAAATTCAAAGCGAAGCCTTCTGATGAAGCAGAATTGCCACTGGCCTGAGACTCGGATCTGGATTGCTTAGGGCTTTTCTTTCTAGAGCTCCATTTGGCTTTCAGTCTTATCAATTGTGTAGGATTGCTTGCAGCTGTTAAGGACATATGATTATATAGATCCAAAAGGCAAAGTCTGTTGAAATGTCCAACTACTGTATAAGTGGTCTCCAAACGTCAGAATTAACTATCCTTTGATTAAAGTCTTGAAGTTTATGTTCTTTCATAATAGTTTTAATCTGTCATTATCAGTATGACACGGTGCTATGATGGAAGGGAGATCTTATCTTTTCTAATTACAGACAGTTCCTGACTTATGATGGCTTGACTTAATGATTTTTCAACTTGCATGAGCGAGAGCATACTCGTGCAACCATTCTTTTATTCATTCTCGGTTCAATGAGTTACAGGAGATATTAGCATTTTATTAGAAAATAGGCTTTATAGTTGGTAATTGATTTCAACTGTAGGAGAACATAAGTGTTAAAAGCATATTTATGGTAGACTAAAAACTACTTGGATGTTTGGTAGGTTAGTTGTATTAAAGGCATTTTTTGATTTAAAATATTTTTGTTTTTGTTTTTTGTTTTTTTTTGAGACAGGGTCTCACTATGCAGTTCAGGCTGGCCTTAAGCTCACTTGGTAGCCCAGGCTGGTCTCGGACTCGCAACAATCCTCCTGCTTCAGCCTCCCGAGTGCTGGGATTATAGGTATGTGCCACCACGCCCAGTCCTGATTTAAAATGTTTTTAACCTACGTGAGTTTGTTGGGTTGTAACACCATGGTAAACCCAGGAGCATCGGTCTGTTCATTATATTAAATGAACTTTTAATTTTATGCTTGTGAAGAAATTTTACGTTTAGACATAGCAGCTGTCACACTTCTTATTTTAAGAAACTTTGTCAAATTTTAAGAAGCCATTATAAAGATTCTAATCTAGATTCCTACCTTGTTTTAAGCAAAAACACTTTCATTATCAATGATCAGCCTTTCAACATGAATGCAGAAGAGTGATTGGTTATAAGGATAATTTCTCTGGAACATAACTGAATTATCATATGCTGTCTTTTGGCAACTTCAACCACCAGAGGGCGCCAGAGCATTTAAAATCCCTTGGAAATTTAATCAGGGAGGAAAACGAACCACTTACTATAGATCTCCATGTTGGTCCCCAGCAGCCAGGTTATCTGCGGAGGGGGCTTGCTTCTCTTGGTGGCGCATTGAAGTACAACATGTTCTTCTCCGTTCAGCGTTCTGCTAACTGAAGCCTCCAGGGTTGGCTTGAAAGGGGTTGCTAGAAAAAAATTGATTTCTCTGCACTTAGTTGATCTACACATCTCAGCAAAGTACAGAGCGTAAAAATCTGTGGGGGTTGCATTAGGGTATAGTCTAATTAATGGGCATGGTTTCTATTTGACTTTCCCCAGAATCCAGTCATGTGAAAGGACTGTTATGTGTTTGCAAAGCTATTTTGGTTGTTACTAGGATGTTTGTTACCAAGTATGTGATTAGTTCCTAAAAATTCTCAAACACACCATTGTATAATAGCTACCAAATATGACATGTGACTGTGTTTGGCTGGTAGAGCCTGAGGTGAGGGAGAGGTCTGAATTCTAGTCCCTCCCATCTCTGTCATCAGCTGATGGTTAAGAACTTTGGTAAATCCCCCAGCTTCTTGGTACAACAGGTTTTTTTCCCTTCACCTGTGAGAGGAAGGCGTTGGCTAGTGAGTTGGCTTTTACAGCCCTAAAGTTCCCTGAGTGTGTGACTCATTCCAAAGTCAGTTACTCTTGTTCCCTCCTGATGTCAAAATTGTGTATCTCTTACGAATGGTCCCATTGGTCCTTTTCTTTGTACTTCTGTCTTGGGAAATAGTCTGTGCTCAGGCTCACTCATTTTTCCCACCCTGTTTCCCCTTTGGCACTTCTGAGCCACAGCTGAGGCACAGCTCAGCTCCTCCACGTTTAATTAACTTCTCTACTGCACTATGTGATGGAGACACTGTAAAGGCACTTTTTAGCTCCAACCATGCACTAAGTGTCACATGCCGGCAACGTGAAGATGAAAAAGATAGGGCCATTCCGGGAGCTAAGAGTCTGGTGGTTGGCAGCCTTACCCCGAGTGTTAATTGAAGATGACAGGCTGGGACTGGATGTATAGATCATCAGGAGTGTATGTGCTCAGCATATGCAAGGCTCTGGGTTCCATACCCAGCATTGCAAAAGAAAAAAAGAGGGGTCTGTGTTGAGTGCAATGGTAGAGGTATTCACGGGGTGTTATAAAGGCCCAGAAGGGCACACAACCAGCCAGAGCAAGGATGCCACTGTTGGTGGTCACTCAGGCAGGGAGAAGACGACCCGTAAGCTGAATCACATTCATCTCAAGGCCTTCAGACAGCTACTCCTTCTCTGTTATTTTCCCAGTGTGGCTTTCCTTCAGGACAGGTGCCATACTATAATAACTCAACAAGAGAAGTCTGCAAAATCTATCTGTGTGCTATATGAGATTATACTATTTGGAGGTCAGTAGAAGTCAGTATTCTGAATTGATCTGTTCTGCCACCAAAACCAAAAGCGCCAAGATGGTAAGACATACTGGAAACAACCGCCCATCCACAGAGCTGAGGAAGTGCAGATGATCAGGGTTTGTCACGCTCTTCATCCGAGCTGCCGCATCCCGTCCACCTCCCGACAGAAGAGAAGAACCACTTTGGCACGGGATATGAACCAATCATCCAACTGGCTCCAGTGCAGCTATATCTGGATTTATCCTCTTAGGTATGTTGTCACACAGTTCTCCTTTATTTACACACGTCTTGCCTTCCTAAATGGTGTGTGGAAATCCTTATAGGTGCAGCTTGTGCCTAAATCATCTTTGGTTCCCTAGAGCCTGACACGGTGCCTGGTATGGTCTTTCGTTTCCCAGAAAGAAGATTTAATTGATGCTGAACACAAATACACAAGTTCACAGTTTAATCTACAGTGTGCCCCTCAAAAATGCTCTCTTGTGTTGTTTAAATAAAAGATGGCAGAGGTGTCCCCAGGAAACACCTTGTGATAGGCAACATTTTAAAACTAAAATGTCAACTTCTAAAATTACTTGCTGTGGTACCTACCTAGCACAGTCACTTTCACTTCCTTTGTGCTCACCGAGTCACTGTAACGTAAACACTTGTACACGCCTTCGTCTTGTAGGGTGACACTGGGCAAACCGATGGACAGCTCAGTGGCCGAGTGATGAAGCAGCTGGTATCTAGAATTTTTTAAAGCTGTACAAAGAAGAAAGAGCTGTTACATGGGAAGGTACCAGAGGAATACAGATTGATCATTCATAGACATCATTTTTGATTTTCACACTTTAGAGAAACAGATGTCATGTCTTCAATTCGGCTGCCTTTCAAATTCATGTGTTACCAGTTCAATGCCTCTTTAAGTAGTTTAGGAAATGAAATATTTTTATAGTGGCATCTATGAAATAAAGAAATTGCTTTGTTTGTGCTTGTAGGAAAGTATGAATGTTGTACTAGAGAAAGACTCAGGCTACAGGAGGGTTTTATTTTTTATTTATTTATTTTTTTTGGTTTTTCTCCGGTACCAGGAACCGAACTCACGACCTTGCGCTTGCCAGGCAGGTGCTTTTGCCACTGAGCTAAACCCCCAGCCCCTACAGGAGGGTTTTAGATGATTTTTTTAAAGTGAAAAAAGCTCCACCACCTGAAAGAATAAGTAAAACTCAAAATGTACAATAGATGATAGGAAAGGGAAAGAAACTGCTCAAAGGAAGGAATGACTGGGATGAGGGAAAGAAGAAAAAGAAAGAAGGCAGGCAAAATATAAATATATATATGAATAGCTGCGATAACTGTATTGCTGATGTCTGATGGTGTATTGAAAGGAACAGTTAATGCTTGAAATTTTTTATGTTCTGACCAATTTTGCATGCTTATATCTGGTAATCTGAGCAACTGATTTGAAGGTAACAATATGTAATGGAATTTTCATGGTGAATTCCTACCATCTTGTCTAGTGAAACTCTGTATTATCTCTAATGTTTTATCTAATAATTATTTTCTTATTCTCTTTAATGGTTTGAACAATCTTCCATTCTTACATTTGGTAATCTAAGTAATGTAGTTGAGGCTAGCAATATGTAATGTAACAACCACTGTTAATTCGTACTATTTTGTCTTGAAACCCCGTATCACTTTAAATGTTCTTGCTTCAGTTTGTTTATGTTTGTGATGCTGGTATGCTGTTATTGTTCTTTTTTCTCATCTACTACTCTCTATAAAATAAAATTTCAAAAAAGAAAGAAAGAAAAAAGTTCCACCATGACTTACCTCTTTGAAATCTAATTTGCTGGAGGTCATCTTGTCACAAGGAGTATCAAGATTAGAAGACAAATGCACTCACTGATAAATGTATTAGCTAAGTGGTTTTTATTTGTAATTTTAAAGTACTCATTATTACTTGAAGATTCCCAAAGATTATGACTTGTTCTTTCCAGGTACTTGACCAGTGGGAAGAGAAGAGAAAAGAAGAGAAAAGAAACAAGCTCCAAAAGGTCCTTTTGGGTGGCCACTGGAGATCGGTCTGCCCTCTGAAGTGGAGGCCCCAGAGCTCAGATCCATCCTACCAGTTAGTCCAACAGGAATGAGAGGGTCCGGGGCATGGTCTGCCTTCTCCCTCTGGCCAGACCGTCATCTCCATGGAGGAGCCCTGGGTAATCATGACTATGGAGGAACAAGAAAACAGCCTGTTGCTAGACACAGGTGCAAGTCTCTCGGTCCTTCTTTTCAATCCTGGCCTTCCTTCCAGACGTCACACCTCAGTGACAGGAGTCACTGGTGAAGAGGTAATATGCTATTTTTGACAACCCTTAGGCTGTAACTACTTGTTAGATCCTTGTTGCATATCTCTGTCTAATCATGACTATGGAGGAACAAGAAAACAGCCTGTTGCTAGACACAGGTGCAAGTCTCTCGGTCCTTCTTTTCAATCCCGGCCTTCCTTCCAGACGTCACACCTCAGTGACAGGAGTCACTGGTAAAGAGGTAATATGCTATTTTTGACAACCCTTAGGCTGTAACTACTTGTTAGATCCTTGTTGCATATCTCTGTCTTCCTGAGAAACCACTTTGAAGATACCACCATGTATTACAGCAGCCATTGATATTTTCCTACTAATCTATCCATAACTCTGTAATGTTTGTATTGTTCCTATCCTATTTCATAAATGGATGCATGTTTATTATTATGTGTTTCCTACAACAACCATTGAGAATAGTTAATGATTATTCAATAGGTCACTCATGTATAGGTCTATTTATTTTTTTTAGAAGCCACTTTGAAGATACCAAAGTATAGTACAACAACCATTGATAATAACCTACCACTTTTGTCTGTAACTTACTATTATTTGTCTATTTGATTTCCTGAAAAACTATCTTGTAGATAACAATATGTAAAACAACAACCATTGATAATTTCCTACCACTCTAGCTGTAATTTGGTAAGCCCCCCCATTATTATGTTATCCTTCTTTTACTCTTTAAAATAAAAACAAACAAACAAACAAAAAAGGTCCTTTTGATTGTGTGTTGACCTTGGAATCCCACCTGAAGTCAAAAATCCCTTAGCAAATCAGAGGCTCCAAGAATGAGTGGGTTTTTTTAAAGTTAATATTAATAATATGAAGAAGTTAAACCTTGAACAGCTGGCCAACAAAGCTGTCCCTTTTCTGGAGCAATGAGATTTGTCCTGGGACACTGACAGTACATTAACTAGACTTCTGGAGTCCTCATCTTCTGCTCTGTTGAGTTGGAATCAATAATTTCTTGTCCTGGAGGCTGTCTGGTGCATTGTAGAATATTTTTCACAACCTTGTTCTGTACCCATTAGATACTAGAAACACCAACCTCTCTACTTATAGCAACAGAAACTATCCAGACATTGCCAAATATACACCGGAAGGCAGGATCATCCGAGGTGGGGAACCCTTAAGATAGATCAGGCCCCTTTGGCTGCAGAAACCCTAGAATCTCCATCTTCTCCCATTCTCCCCAAAAGAAAACCATGACAGCAAAAAGCATTATTTAACAGAATGATCTCTACTCAAAGTTCATTTCACTAAAGCTTTTAACAATTAGTATCTACTTGTTCTATTAGAATCTAGTATTAATAGTTAATTTTGCTTAAAGGAATATATTGGGTTTTTATACTTATATTGATAGTTAATGATGTTTTCAAAGGATATCAAATTTTTTAATAACTTTTGCTTTGTAAGCAAGAATGAAATGTGCTTTTATAGAGAAGTTTTAAAGTATTTGGTAGGTAGGAGTAGTAAGTGAAAATTTTAAAAATAGTCTAATTATGAAGGAAAGGGATGAGTAAAGTCTTGCCCAAAGTCCAGGGGTGAATGAGTATCTGTCTGTCTGAGGTATCTCCTACACACTCACTGTATGTTTGTGAAGATAAGCATGATTTCTGTCCTTCCCGGAGTCACACGCCCTGTCCATATCTAAGTGCTTCTAACTCTTGATTTTGTGTTAAAACCAACGGGGGAGAAGAAGCATCTGGAAAGAGCTTTGGAACGGGACTCAGGATGGATCAGATGGAAAACAAAGCAGCTGGCTCCAGATGAGGAACGATGAGATTGGCTACAGGAGGGGACAAGGCCCCCAAGTCATTTCGTGGCCTATCTATCATTCTGCTGTGGGTGTTTCATGGCCTTTGAGAGTGAAAAAGTGATTGGGGGGTGGTTGGGGGACATGGAAATGTGCTTTGTAATTTGAGCCCCCTTTAACAACCATGCTGGTGGGGTTTCCATTTCAGACTTCCGGCCCCCAGAAAAGCAGCCGTGTGTCAAACAACAGCCTGCAGAGGTGTGATTCTTGTGGATAGGAGGTGGGCAGGGCCCACCCCTTGGGTGATTCATGCAGACTTTCTGACGGGCTAACCTACCTAGCTGGAAAATCTCTTAGCTTGAGGCCCGGTGGTGATTTTTTTTCTTTCATTCACTTACCAGGATGCTCATTTAAAAAAATGGTGAAGCCCGTGGGCGCCAGCCACTGGAGGGAGGCGTTTTTCTCCAGAGAAGTGGTGCACTTGAGCGTGAGCGTGTGGCCTTCCTCCACCGTGATGGTTTCCGTGCGGTTAGTCAGAAAGGCATCTATGGAAGAAGAGAATCGGCAGGTCAGGCTGGTGAGGCTGAGCTGTGCCGCTCCAGGGTAGGGATTTATTCTTAGCGTGGCGTCATTCAGTCACCCAATCACCCACTGCAGATTTCTTATAGAAACAATTACCAGAAAAGTATGAGGGAGCATTGCATGCAGAAACAACAAAGACGCCTCTTGAAGGAGAGCACATTCCAGGACCGAATAAAGGAGTTAGATTTCACTAGGAAGAAAGGGAAGGTTAACACAGTTGTAATCCGGGCATCTGTCTGGTCACATGTTGGGAACTGCGCAGGCCCATTGTGCCTAAATTTAATATTCAAACTAATCCTGCAGGAAGGACTGTTTTTGCTCCCTTTACAGATGAGGGAATAGAGGCACAAGGTCACAGAGGTCATGCAGCTGGAATCTGAAGTCCAGGTCTGCAGACTTCAAAGTCCTTGTTTCTGTGCCGGGATATAGCTCAGCGGCACAAGCACCTTCTTGGTAAGTGCCAAGGTCCTGAGTTCAATTCTTGGTACCAAAGGGGGAAAAAAAAAAAAAAAATCCTTGTTTCTGTAACTTCAGTACCAGCTTACCTAAGTGATGAGATGCCAGAAAACTTAGGCTTTATGACTTCAGGTCATAAAGTGCCTAACGTGTCCCTTCAAGTATAAGTGTCTAGGAGTCTATGCAAAATCACTGGGGCTGGGCGTGTGGCTCAGTTGTTGAGCGCTTGCCTGGCATGCCTGAGGCTCCAGGTTCCATCCCAGTACCTCCAAGGAAAGAAAAAATAAGATCAAAACAACAAAAACTCCCAACAAAACAAAGTTGTAATATGCAGTGCTGCCCCGAGTATGGAGCTGCTGTTCACCCAGAGTAGGTAAACCCCACCTATCAGAGAGTTTTTAACCCTCTAGGGTGGATGTTCTAAGATCTCCAGTTCAATAGTCTACAGCAGCGCCCCCTCCAGGCAAACCGGAGAGTCTCATTCAGAGTCACGACCCCCTGAGAACGAGACGCGATTGGTTCTAAGCAGCTGCAAATGTACCCGCTCACAAGAAAATGAGGGAAAAATGAACTGGCTTTCCTGCTGATTTGGCCCATTTGTACCTTTCGTTATTTCTTCAGATTTCAAATTAAAAACAGTTTTTCCCTTGGTGACAAGATAGTTCTTATCAATGAAGGGACAAAACATTTTCATAAACACAATGCTATAAGATTGTAAATTATGAGTTGCAAATGTAACATGTTGTACTGAATTACCTTAACTCCCTCCCAAAAGAAAGAAAGAAAGAAAGAAAGAAAGAAAGAAAGAAAGAAAGAAAGAAAGAAAGAAAGAAAAAGAAAGAAAGGGAATTCATTGACTCATGATAAATTTTAAGTATTAGGAGCTGTGGAGAGCTCCGGGAATTAACTGGTGTAGCTTTTTTGATGTGTTCCATTCCTAGGTCATTAATTTCCATCTAGCCTCCAGCAGTAATAACCCAGAATTATTGTGTTGTATTCATGTTGACTTTCATGGGAAAACAGTTAGCTTGAGTTCTAATGGAAAAAACACCCATCATCAGCCAATACTATAATGAATAACGAGTCAATAAAAGTTTAAGGGATTTGTGGGGCTAGGGAGACCCTGGGTTCTATCCCCAGCACCAAAATAAATAGGGAAATAAAGAGGAAATAGATCTGCATTTTTAAAAAAACAAAACATTGAGGCCTAAGGCCAGAATTCTGCTTTGGTTTGACCATTTGGAAATAGTCTCATTTACAAAATCAACCCATAATGAGTAATAAGAATAATATTAATAGAGATGCTTTGAAATAACAATGGAGTTTCTTCTTGGGGCTTTTCCTTGGTAATAAAAGTTTGGAAGGCCATTTAGTCCCTGCTTGTGTCTGTGTGACTTCCATGTTCAATGGGTAAGGAAAACAGTGATCTTCAACCTTGGAAATATATCAGAGTCATCTGGGGAGCTTTTGAAAACCCTGTTATTCAGGTTGTACCCATTAATGATCACATCCGAATCCCTGGAGGCGGTGCCTCACACTGGCTCTCCTTACCACCTGGCCCAAGGGCCCAGATTCTTCCTTTCCAGAGAACACAGTTGTGGTGCACCGAATGATTAAAATTCAGAGCTCCACTGATGCTCCCCAGGTATGGGGGGTGAGGTGAGGGTGAGGTGAGGCCTTGTCTCTGCAAGGCCTACATGGGGCCGGAGGACAAGACCAATCTCATTTTAAAAGACTTCCAGAGAAAGGCATTCTCCCATCTCCCCATACCCAACTCATTGCAACCCTAGCTGGGCTAAATGCTCTCTCAGCAGGGGCTCCCTAAATCTACCAGGGAAAACATGGGCAAGTAGAGACCCTAGTCTTGATATCATCTATGGCTTAAGATGGCATGGGCAGGTGGCGTTGCCAAGGAGGAACCCAAACTTATCATTTCATGACTTTTACATTTTGATCTTGGTTCTTTCTGTCCTCTGAAGCTAAAAACACCAAGTCTACCATCTTTTTCACAGTATTCAAACAATAAAGAACCGATGCCTTTAGTACCATTCTCATCCTCATCTGTCCCCATCTACCACACCTGTATATACTGTAGTTTGTCAATGTTCTTCCAAAACTATTATTCTGTGTCTGAAGGAAGAGGCACTGATGTCACCCGAGCTGGCCGGAGCACAGGGGACATTCACTTGCCACACCATGGACCCTACTGATCCCAGTGTTCCACTCTTGAGTTGTAACATCTTGCCAGGCTCATGCTGCACTGGAGATCACCAAAAAGACTCTGCTCTTTGTCAGGGAGCTGTGGTCACAACATGTCTCTCTGTCCCTGTGTGGACGCATCTCCCTTTGGACAAAATTTCAAGTTACGCATCCTCCCTGAGTCAGTATTATTTGGTTGCTCTGGACTGAGAGTTCAAATGTTCTGAAAACATTTTAGCTCTGGATTCTCTTATGCTATTCATCCCCCAGGCTTGGTATCTCTGAACTTGTTACAGAGGGGAGCTGTATTATATTCAAATGTGTATCCTTAACATGAGGCGGTATTGTGCAATGATTAAAACACTCATACTCAAGCCAAATTCCCTGGTTAGGAATCCTGGCTGTGCCACTAATAACATGAACTTGGCGAAATTATGTCTTGGCTTTTTTTTTTTTTAAGTCACAAAATGTGGGAGGGAGGAGTATTCATCTCACACAGTTGTTCCAAAGATTAACATGTAAAGAAGCTTGAGTAGTGCTTAGTGCATAATAATTATCATGCACTTCCATTATTTGGTAAGTAGTACTCAAAAAGTAGTGGAGAAGCTGAGCTAACTCTTGCTTTAAAAAGAAAAATTGAAAGGATCAGTGTCAAAAGACAAAGGCTTGTAGCTCTGCAGCTCTTGATTAGAGATCTTGTTCCCCAGTGTCTCAGGATGATTTCTTATTAAATATTCGAAAGTCCTTGCAGACATTAAAAGAAGAAGCAATTATAGTGACAATGAGCTTGTTGTAATTGGGACAGTTTAGGGAGAATTAAGGATTTTGAGAATCATATAGGGATAACAAACTCCACCCTTAGGTAGCAAGGGTGGAATTAATCATAGCACTCACTTTATGGCAAGAGAAAGAGAGAGAGAGAGAGACAGACAGGCAGACAGAGACAGGCAGACAGTGATAGAGACAGACAGACAGAAAAAGAGCAGAGACAGAGACAGACAGATTAGAACTCTGAGATAATAAAATTAGGAAACCCTCAGCCCCTTCTCTCTCCATCATGTAAATTGTTGGCTATTGAAATGTTAACTTACTTGGAGATGTGTGTATCAATGTTGCTCTAAAAAGTGTGCTACTCAGAAAAGGAATCCCTCCCTGCTCTCCCACCAAATCACGTCTACCTGCTTTTAGACTCTGCCTAGTCTGCCTGCATTACATCCCTGTAGAGTACCTTATTTCCCCCCAAATAAGACTTGATCTTTTGTTAATTTTTGCTCTAAAAGACACAGTGGGGCTTATTTTCAGGGGAGGTCTTATTTTGTCATGTACAACAATCTACATTTATTCATGTACAACAATCTACATTTGTTCAAATACAGTCATGTCGTCTTCCTCTGGACCATAGTTATTCATTCTCCAAACCCCAAATTTCAGCCTAAATTTTCTGGGACTCCATTTTCTGTCAAATCATTGGCCCCAATCTCTCGTGTCCAGCAATAAAGCTCCCCTTAAGTGAGCACTTCCTGTCCATGTAGCCTGCTCGAGACATTGTTACAACTTGCGACGTGTTGAATTATGAAGATTCATATTAGACTTGACCTTATCCATTTGTTGTCAAGTGTGCATGTTATTCACGTGCTGTGTCTATACTCTGATTGGTTGTTTAGCAAGAAGTCTCAAGTTCATCCGCTTACACAGGTATTTATCTCTTACCCAAACGCATCTGCTTGGATATTTACAAATATATAATTATAATTTATGTTATCATTTATTTTAAGTATTAATTTTAAGAATATTTCATTGATATTTAATTATATATTAATATTATTATCTTATAATTCAATATGTCCATCACATGTTACATGAACATACTTAATGCACTTATCTGTCTAATGACCGATCTTAACTGGGGCTTATTTTGGGGTAGGGCTTATATTATGAATATCTTGAAAAATCATATTGGGGTCTATTTTCCGGTGAGGTTCTATTTGTGGGGACAAGTGGTATCTGCCCTATTAGTCCACTTTGGCAGCAACTGCATCCCTCTTGGTTTACCGAGGATTTCTCTCCCATGTTGCCCTGTCTCTCCTCCCCATTAACATTTTTCCCCCTTTAGCGACAGCATTCTCTCAGCACGCACACACATGTACTGCCATTTCTCCCATATTGAGAAACAAAAGTAAAATTAGATGTCACATTCCTCTCTAACTACTGTTGTATTTCCTTCTTTTATTGAAAAATATTATTCTAAAAATTTAACTGTGTTGTTCATTCCACTTCTCCTTTCCTTATCAGGGTTTAAAACCCACTTCTGCATTGAAATTTGCACTTTTCAAGTTTGCTACAGACTTTCTCACTGCCAAAGCCAACGTTCCATTCTCAGACTTGGTCTTATTCAACCCACTGAGTACTTTTGTCATAGCTGATCACGTCCTGCTCCCTAAGACAGTGTCCTTACACGGTTCCTTAGATCTCAGTCTCCTTTCTTTTCCTCCTAACTCACTGGCTTCTTGTCCTGCTCGTCCTCCATTCCTGGGTTCTCCTGCCCTTTGTGCTACTGAGGTCTGACCTTGGGTCTCTTCTGTCTACGAGCACTCCACAGTCTGTCTCATCTGGCCTCTAACTTACTTAGCTGGTGACTCCACTTACATGGTTGAAAAGTGTTTCAGACTTAACAAGCGCAAACCACTGCAAACAGCGGGCCCAGTTACTGAGGCCCAAAACTAGTAAAGAGGGTGTCATTGTTCCCAATTCAGAAATGAGGAAGTTTAAGCTCAGAGGTTAAACAGCTTCAAAGCCAATGCTTGGATCTGGAACAAATTACTACTGCATTGTGGTGATTCTTGCTTTTCTTGCTAGTTCTTGCATTTTTATGACCATGTTTTATATTTCTCTAAAATTAATTCCTTACAGAAACATTTACAGTGTGACTGTGAAAAGGAATGGTTTCATGCTGGGTTACCTCATGGCACGGATATCTTTTCCCTTTTGTTATAATAAGAATACTGAGAAATGGAGGAGAAGATACTGGAAAAAAATTAAACATTAAATCAATGATAAAATAAAAAGTGGTGCTAACAAATATGGCCTAAATTCATCCTTTGGAGTTCGAAGTTGGCGCTTAGAAGCTTTTCAGCTGGGTGTGGTGGCACATGCCTATAATCCCAGCACTCAGGAGGCTGAGGCAGGAGGATCATTGGTAGTTCAAGACCAGATGGGCTACAAAGTGAGCTCAAAGCCAGCCTGAACTGCAAAGTGAGACCCTGTCTCAAATGCGCGCGCGCGTGCGCGCGCGCGCGCACACACACACACACACACACACACACACACACACACACACAAAGCTTTTCAACGTTCCTGCCTTTGGTATAATGGTAGTGTAGAAGAAAGTCTGCATTTGGTACAGATGGGAGTGATGAGGTTATCTGCAGCCTGTTTAGACATAAATGACTCTCATTTAAACGTGTGTGTAGGGGCTGGGGATTTAGCTCATTGGCACAGCGCTTGGCTGGCAAGCACAAGGTCATGAGTTCGATTCCTGGTACCGGAAAAAAAACAAACAAACAAATAAACGTGTGTGTGTGTGTGTGTGTGTGTGTGTGTGTGTGTAATTTGTCTTTCTCCTCGGATGAAGTGATCTGACTCTTACAACATATTAAAAATTGTGGTGAAATGCTGTATGGGCTCTTAGTATAGGCTAAATTCTCAACTGCAGAGCATTTGCTCTTGCAGTTGAGAATTTAATAGCAGGCTGCTGTTTAGAGTGAATCTGTAGATGCCTGAGTTGCACGTGGACATGGACGTGTTGAGGGCACAGAGTATGAACTGTTTCCTCTGTTCCTAGCTGCAAGGCTGGCTTTTCGTCTTTGTAGGCTGATTTATCTTACAGTCTTCTCATGCAGACCCTGTGCTTGATTTAGCAACAGGAAGTCATTGTAGAAAGGAAGAATAGCCCCAGTGAGAAGCCACAGACCCCCACAGCTTTGCTTCAGCTGTAGTGCTTAAAAATACTGCACAGCGCAGTGAGCCTAGGTCTTGTTAAACAGCACAAGAGGAGGATGCTGTCCCCAAGTCTTGATGTCACATCTTCTAATAAAAAGCTTCCCATGATCCTCTCATTGCCGCTGGAAACTAAGTTGGGATTGTCCTTTCAGTTTTCTTTCACCTAAGTTTGGAATTAAACTTTCACCTTTGTTGCCAGAAGGATGAGGTGTGAGGTGTTTTTTGCTTACCACTTCCTCCCTTCTGAACTCTAAAGCCATGTGTCTTCACCTTTGGCCTTTTTTATGTAGCCCCTGAGCGCCGTGTGCCTACTTCCTTGCTCTCCCTGTCATGCCTTCGGTGGTCTTACCTTAGCCCTACACGCTGCACCCTGAGCTCAGCAATGGATGGCTGGGTGTCCCTCCTAGGAGGTCATCCATTGATAGGTCAGGTCGACAGAGTGGATTATCAGCTTCTGAGCTCAGTTTCTATCTCTGTCCCCGGAAGTGCCCAGCCCTACATGGACACATACTACCAAATCTTTACTTGAGCCTGGGTTTATAGATTGTGATGGTTTACATAGTTGTGCATTGCTTAGCACAGGGACACGTCCCGAGAAATGAGTCATTCGATCTCACAGTTGTGTGAACATCACAGAGTATACCCACAGTGCCGTAGTTGCTAAAGCTTACTACACACCTAGGCTATACTATGATCATAAGGGATCATCATCATACATGTGATCCTTCCTAGATCAAAACATCATTATGTCACGAAGGCTATATGGAAATAGCATACGTGACCTTCATCATCATCTCTATGCCTGAACCCATGAGGTAATTGTCCTGTCAGTAGATGGCTTCATACCAAAGCACAAGTGACCAAATGCCAAGCAAAAGATCAAGGAGCATCCACAGCTGTCTACTGAAGCACACACAGATAAAACAGGTACATTCTGAAGACCCCTTAGTCTTTTGAAGCCGGGCATGGCGGCATATGCCTTTAATCTCAGCATCTGGAAGGCTGAGGCAGGAGGATCACTGCGAGTTCAAGGCCAGCCTGGGCTTCACAGTGAGTTCAAGGCCAGCCTGAACTACACAATGAGACCCTACCTCAAAAAACGAACAACACAAGAGTCTTTAGTCTTTCCCAAGATTTTGAGAGGTGAGTGTGATTTTTACCTCTATAATAAGTCATCACGATAGACTGAAAAAAAGGAATAAAGTATTCTTTTGTTTTACTACCTAAATATCCCAATCCATGTATGTAATACAATTAAAACTAAAGCAGAATAAGTGGCCACTGAATACAAGATATTTAACAGCCACTCCAGCCAATTTTCTCTCCCAAACATCGCCTTAGTGAACTCATTCCCCCTTTTTTCCACTACTATTGCTGCCTGAGTTGAGCCTCCATCATTTCTTTACTGGACCATTGAAATAATTGTCTTCTACACTCTCCTTCCTCTCATTCAACATCTTCATCTGCTTCTAGAAGAACAGTTTAAAACTATACATTTGATCGTGTGTCTTCCTTCATTAAAATATTTGCCACGACTCCCATCTCCTATAGGGATCAGGCCAAAATTCCCAACTCTTTAAAATTGTCATTTTGAGGCTGGATCTCCCTAAGTTGCCCTGGTAGACCTCAGACATGTGATCCTCCTCCCGACTGCTTTCAAGCATTTGATTCACATTAAGAACATATATTCTACCCCAACCCAGCATCCACACACACGTTAATTCAAAGTTTTATAAGTATAACTTATAATTTACCATGTGTTTCACAGGTTGATATTTACTGACTCTGAAAACATGGGCAGGTTATCTCACTTCTTTTGACCCCAGTTTTCTTATCTGTAAATTGGGGATACCAATACCTACCCTGGCATTTTTTCTAGGACTAATTGTAATTCACATGATGTGCCCAGAACTCTGCATGACAGAATAAATACTTTTCCTTTTTCTATGGGCAGTATTTTAATAGCATGTTCTAAAAGATTTGTCTTAGGGTTTTTTGTTGTTTTTGATGTTTTTGGTTTTTTGAGATATAATCTCTGTATGTAGTTGAGGCTGGCCTTGAACTCGCAGTGATCCTCTTGCCTTAGCCTTCGGAGTGCTGGGATTATAGCTGTGTGCCGCCATGCCCAGCATGTCTTAGGTTTATCTTAAGATACATTTCTCCTGCTTATTTAAAAACTTACTTCCATATGTTTTGTGAAGCAAAAATTCAAAGCCTGAAAAAGTTCAGGTCAGTTAAAGGCTTTAAACTTTGGAATAATTGAAATCATTCTCATTTTAGCTGACTATTCTTTAAGCCACACACTGAAAAACTAATATTATTCATTACCAAAACTGAATCCTTGTTAAGTGCTTCAGAGCACAGGGGCCAAAAAGGAGGACACTAATTAAAGTGTATAAAATAGGGAATTGAAATACTATGTAAAATAGGAAATCTCATTTTTTAAGATGCTGTCCTTCAGTTACCGCTCTATAATCACTGCAAATTTAGAAGAAGAGGTTGTTTCGTGAAACAGAGCTACAGATTCAGTATTTGGAAGCAAACAAATATGCAGTTACCAAGCATTGGTTATAAGTGGTTTCTGAGACAAGTCTCCATCAGAGACCCAGGGACACCAAGGGCCATTTCCTATTACCTTTACTCCCACTTCTAGGCAGGAGTAATTTGACCTGAGTTTAAAAGGTAAATGTGTCTTTCTTTCATTTTCATAATAGCAGATTAGAATTAAACTTCAAGAGCCCAAATTAGAGGGAAATATTAAAATATAACTGACTTTTGCAAAATAAGCATGGTTTTCACTGGGCTCATTATCTCTGAACTAAATACGAGTTATATAGCATTTTGCCATCTTCAAAGTGATTTCACATTTTAAATTAGATCCTCATAATGATCCAGGGAATACGGTAGATCAAACAGTATTATCATCTTCAAGACGTAGAGACTGAATGTCAGAGGAATTAAGTTCTTTGGTTACATCTTGTACAGCAGGGAAGGAAATTTAAAATCCCAAACTGAAGCTCTTTCAACCGGTCACATCTTAAAAGACAGAGTCTTGCAAGTTTGCTCCATTTTTCCATAACATAGATCCCACAGATGCACCCAGTGCTCCTTCCTGTACCCTCTAGCAACTGAATAAGAGCTCTATGATCTGGATGTGGCTTGAAAACAATTAGCAGCTGCCTGACTTGTCTTTCACAGTCGTCCAACATGAGTGCAGTTAACTGTACATTTGGCAAATATTAAATCAGCTGAGCACAAAAACATTCAATCTAAGTTCTTACCTCGTAAGGGGACCCAGGACAGCAAGCTGAGAACTCTCCACCACATGTTGTGCTGTGACACTGTCCACTTCCTCTAGCTTCTGAAGTAATGCAGGAGAGTTATTTCTTTTGAAGGGAGCAGAGGCAGGCGCCCTGTGACCACACGTGGGTCAACCCCTCCATCTGCTCCGGGAGGTCCCTCTGAGGCAGCTGCCCCCCAAACACCTCCCGATGGAACATTTTGGAGACCACAGCGCCAACTCGATTGTGGAGAGGTGTGAGTGATGTATTAGTGACCACAAGTGGGTAGTGCTAGCAGTCAACTAAGTGCAAGTCATACGTGGGGAGAAAGGGTGGAAGGATAATAAAACATTCCTGTGTAGTGATGTCACCCTTATTTCTACTTTTCTACTTTATTAGGTAATTATAATTAGGTAAATTCTCCGCAACCTTTGTGAATTTTTTTTTTTTTTTTTTGGTCTTTTCTGAGACAGGGTCTCACTATGCAGTTCAGGCTGGCCTTGAGCTCACTTTGTAGCCAGGCTGGCCTCGAACTCGCAACGATCCTCTTGCCTCAACCTCCCAAGTGCTGGGATTATAGACTCGTGCCATGATGGCTGGCCCTTTGTGAATATTTTATATTTATAACTCCTGCAACAACTTTTGATGGTAATCAGGGCCCAATTTCATTCATTCATATGTTTACTGCATTTGGAATCTGCATATTCAGCCTCCCATCCATTCATGTATCCCTCCATTTATTTTCCATCTAGCATTTACCTCTCGAAGACATGATTAGATGTGAAACATAAATCGCTTGGTTTTTTTTTAAGGATGCCAACATTTTCTTTTTCCAATATATATTTTTATAAATGTATATTAATTTTCCAAAATTTTGGATTTCACTCTTTTCATACATGCATGTGACAAATTTGATCATATGTATGCCTATTACTCTTATACCCCTTTTTTCCTTCCCCTTATTCCTCTCCTTTTGTGCTTCACAGTGAGATACATCCCTAGTTTCCTTCCTTCCTTCCTTCCTTCCTTCCTTCCTTCCTTCCTTCCTTCCTTCCTTCCTTCCTTCCTTTCTTTTTCTTTTATTTTGCGACAAGGTCTTGCTAAGTCACTAGATTGTCTAGACTGGGTATGAATATTCTCCTGCCTTAGCTTCCTGTAGAGTTAGGATTATAGGCATGCATCACCGTGCCTAGCACTTCCTTTTATCTGATAGTCTCCCTTCTACTTTCATGTCATCTCTTTTTACATCTTTTATAGTCTACACCCTAGGGAAAACATACAGTACTTGTCTAAGTCTGCCTTACTTTGTTTCACACGATGATCTCCAGTTCCTTCTATATTCCTGCAAATGACATAATTGTATTATTTTTTATGGTTGAGTAGATACTCATTATATATGTATGTGTGTGTGTGTATATATATATGTATGTGTATATATATATATATATATATATATATACATACATATATATATACACACATAATGTATTTATCTGTCCATGGGCACCTAGGCTGACTCCATGTCTTGGCAACTGTGAACTGTACCTCAATAAATAAGGGTGCACATGTATAGTATCACTACCAGATACTGACTTTAAGTCCCTTGGATGTATAATAAAGAGTGGCATTGGTAGATATATGGTCCTTCTATTTTTAGTATTTTGAGTGCCCTCCATACTGATTCCCATAGTGGTTATGCTAGTTTACATTCCCTACTAGCAGCATCGAAACAGCCCTTCTTTCCTCATCCTAACAGTATTTACTGTTTTTTGTATTTTTTGTTTGTTTGTTTTTTTCTGGTACGGGAATCGAACTCATGACCTCGTGCTTGCCAGGCAGGTGCTGTGCCACTAAGCTAAACCCCCAGCCCGTTTTTTGTATTCTTGATGATAGCTATTCTGCCCACATGAGATAGAATCACAAAAGGGGTGAGATGAAATCTCAGTGTAGCTTTGATGGCTAAAGATGTTAAACATTTTTTAATATCCTTATTGGCGTTTTGTATGTCTCTTGAGAAGTGTCTGTTCAGTTCATTGGCCCACTTTTTGATAAATTCCTTGTTATTTTACAATAAGTTCATCTGGTCGGGGAGATAGTGGGTAAATAAACAAGTTTGGTTCATGTAATTCTCATTAATTGAGCAAAAGGATAGAATTTATTTCATTTTGTCAGTAGTGAGTGAATAGAAGAATGAATTGACTGACCATTTGAAGATGGAAATATACACTTTCATTCTGAAGCCAGAAAAGGTACTTGAGTTATCATATTTTCAAAGTAGTCAAGAAGCTCTTTTTTGAATTGCACTTTGGGCTATGGTGAGTGGACCTTATCCACCTACAGATACGTTGTCCAAGTGGCTGAAAACCCTGACCAAAGTTGCACAGTCCACACGACTCAGAGATGGGAAACCGCCCCTGGGGAAAGGCCGCGAGGCCGGCTGGTGGGTGACATGCCTTGTGGTTTGTACAGACCTTCCCACTCTCTCACCAACCGCGCTCAGCCCGCAGCCCACAGTGTGCGCCATGGGGAGGGCGGCTGATTGTGGCTGCTCAGGGAAACAGAGAGAAAAGATGAGGTAGGAGTGCAGTGGTCAGGGAGAGACCTGCTAATCTTCAAATGGAAACGTGTTTCCTGAGCACTTTGTAGGAAGGAGGCCTCACAACCGAGTAGGAGAGGAAAAACTAACTTTCCTTCTACCTTTCTGAGTTCTTAGCTGGGTCCCAATAAATGAAAAGATTAGGGAGAACACCAAACAATATCATGTGTGTTTCATATATGCGTGGAAGATAGATTGAGAAGGAATAGTCCCCTAAGAGGTGGTTTAGATTCTGCCCTACATGGCGTTTTAAGCAAAGAACAAAGGCATTTTAGAGAAGTGGAAACACAGAGGAAAAGGATCTTGAGTCTTTAGGGGTGGCAAATTTGTGGGAAAGTGAAGCTTGGTGTGTAGATCTCTCTGGTGCCCTCTCCATGCTGATACAGATCTAAAGTTTTCTCCAAAAATCAACCTTCACCCTTGGTTGAGAAGGAGGAGGACATCTTAGTAAATGTATGTCCTGCTTTTGGGCAAACGGGAGGAGGGAAGAAAGCTCTTCTTCCATCTGCTTTTCCCCAGTTGCCTTCAGTTCAAAATAACCCTTCAACTGAAGCAGAGTATTTGGGGGTGGCATATTCTGCTGCCCTTCAAGTGACCACCAGTTTGCCATTTTGATCCCTACTGCAGGAGATCTTTGTATTCTGTTCCATTACTAACAGGACACAATACCTGATGGGTGGAAGGATAGATTTTAGAAATGTAAACTTCTTCTCTCTCGCCCATCATCACCTCTGTTGTGTGTGGGGGACTGAAAGGGGAGACAGTAATGAGGCTAGCGACAGACTAAGGGTCGAAACAAATAGGGGGTTTCCCACATGTAGAAGTCACTGGAGTTTTTATCGCCAATTACAAAGCCCTAAACTTTCTTCTTGACCTTTCATGACCCTTGTGGGGAATTGTGGCCTTTCCCAAGACCAGGGGAAGAGGTAGACTCATCTCATTTCCTGGCAGATGCCACTGCTAATCCATACCTAGGGCAGGATTCTTCGAGTACTGTTGTAAAACATAACATAGAGTTTCTAAGGCAGACCAGCAACCTTTGAAATTAGTTATTGATTCAGAAGAAGTTTCCTAGGGGCCACAAAGCTTGGTGGGATGAGCATGGTGTGGGAGGCAGATAGGGCCTTGCTTGTCCCCTGGGCTTTATCACTAGCCCCTGTGTAACCTTAGCACACCACTGGCCTTTTCTAACCAATCTCCTCAGTTGTAAAAGGGGGACAATAGTTAAATGCTAAGGGGACCGGGAGGTTTGAATAGCACCCAGTCGCTAAAGCACCTGCAGTGAGATGCATAAAAACACCTAGTTATTTCCACAGATCTAGGTGGTCACTTCAGGAACCATGGTAGTTTGGGTCTACCTGGAAAACAGGAGGCACAATTAAGCATTTGCTCTTGAGACTTCTTCTGCCTAGAAATCAGCCTTGTGAACCTGGAGTTTCGAAGAGGTGGGCGCTCTGTATAAGCTGATCAAATGGGGCATGCCGGAGACAGCATCACCCTGTGGTTGATTTGAAAAGGAACGCACCTCAACAGCAAAGGCTGGGGTCAAGGCCCAGCGCATAGAGCTTTGTGGGGATGGTGGCCACCCTTTGTGTCCTTCCACGTACATGAGGGTGTTAGAGGAAAGTCATGGGGTCTCGTCTGGGCTGTGAAAACCCAAGCATCTCCCAGGTACTTCAGGCTTCTGCAATATTTTCAGGGACATTTCCTTAAAAACATTTAAAGCTAGTATCTAGGCTCTGGAAGGAGGCTGGAGTGGTGAAAAGTCAGGTCCAGCACTTTTTAATTGTATAACTGTGGGCAGGCTATTGACTTTTTCGAGGACAGGCTCTTCTTTTATAAAGTGGAGTGACAGTATCTACTGAACAGAGTTGTCCAGAAGAGTAAAGTTCACACCTGGAAAGCACGTTAGTGCCTGATAAATACAAGTGCTCAGCAGACGCTGGCTGTTACTTTGCCAGCCCCTGGACACCCCCAATCTCTGAATTTGATTTGCCAGGTAAGTTAGTTTTTGTGCCAGACTCTGTGAATTTAGAATAAAAATCCATTATTTCACCCGAATCTGCATTAGCGATCAGCAAGTTCTTTCTGTAAAGGGCCAACGAGTAAATATTTAAAATATATTTTAGCCAAAGTTGGTGGGGCACACCTGTAACCTTAGCTCAGCACTCTGGGAGGCTGAGGCTGAGGCAGGAGTGTTGTGAGTTTGAGTCCAGGCTGGATACCTGAGTGACTTAGTGAGGCCCTATTTCAAAATTAATTAATTAATCAATAAAAGGCTGGGGATGTAGCTCAGTTGAAGGCAAAGATTTCCATTCCTTGTATCACACGGGAAAAGAAACTCTACTACTTAACACTGCCTTTGCTCCTGGAAAATGCCATAGGCACTGTGTCAGTGAATGAAGATTATGTTCCAATAAAACTTTGTAGATAACAGGAACTCAAATTTTGTATAATTATCATAAGCCATGAAATAATATTCTGGTTTTCCCCTCAAGCATTTAAATTTGTAAGCAGCATTCTTAGCTTGAAGGGTATACAGAGCCAGGCTGTGGGCTGAATTCTGTTCAAGGGGGAGGCTCTGGTCACAGTAGTAATTTACTGACGCCTGCTCCGTGAGACCCTCCGTCTATGGGTGTGCCCACCTGCCTGGCTTTGTCTCCTCCTCTTTCTAGCACAATTACCGTTAGTTCCCAGGCTTCTTCTATTCTAACCCAGCCAGATCCTTCCCACTTGGGGGCTTCTGCACTCATAGCTTCTACAAGCTGTCCTCGCACAGCTCCTTGCCATGACTGGCTGCAGCTCAGCTGGTTTAATGGCCAGCTGTTCAGGGACTCCGCGCATGACCCTCCTAAGACAGTACCCCTATGACATGTTGCAAAGTTACTTTCAATACCCAGTATATGTCCTAAATAGCATCTCTGCGCGCTCAGACCGATCTTGTTTATGTACTCGTTATCCATCTCCCTGTCCATGACAGCAGGTACCTTGCTTTCTTTGCCATTCTAGTTCCAGCCTATCACCCTGCTAGGAATACAGCAACCAGGAGATATTAGAGAATGATGATTAAGTTCATGACCTCCGTATCTTCACACATTGAATTAATGGTTCCTCAACTTTTTACCCAGTAAAATTGTTGAGGATCAATCGAAAACTGTTTATTAAATTATAAAGAGTTTATACAAAGGAAAGTGGTAATCAAGGGAGGTCTCCTAAGCAAACCACAAAACTCAACCGACAAACCCACTTTTCTTTTTGGTCCTGAGAATCAAACTCAGGACCTTGTGCTTGCCAGGCAGGCGCTTATGCCACTGAGCTATATCCCTGGTCCCAAACCCACTTTTAGGAAAGTCTTTCTTACTATAGAAACTCACTTCCAGGGAGCAGAGTGGTGTACACTCCGTACAAATGATGCCATGTTTATTCATTCCAGAAATTCCCCATAGAAGAGTGGGGTGGCTCCAGGTAAGATTTGAGTTCATCCTTAGCAAAAAAAAATTTACCTATTTATTAGCATGTAGCATTTTATTCTCATTAACATGTAGGATTAAATATTTTATATATATTATTCTATTTGCTTCTCATAACCATACTGGCAAAAACAAACACATCGTTATGATGCCTGCTAGACAAGGGAAATGAACTAAGGGCACCCTGGGAGCAGCTAAGCCCAGCCCAACTCTGTTTGACTGAGTAATATTCTTAGCACAGCACGACGTTCTTCTCAGTGACACACAGACCTTCAGGATGGCCCCAAGAGTACAACACCACACGGCAAACTAAATAAGCTGTGGTATCTTTCCATGGCCAGAAGCAAGCCATCTGGGTTTCACATGCGTATTTCTGGCAAAATGGAGTATTCTATGTGGTCAGGAGGAAGTTGTTTTTTTTTTTTTTTTTTCCCTGGACCTCAAACAACTTTCAAAAACACCACCACCCCATTTTGCTGATTTAAGCTTAATCCAATCCAAAGTACACTGATTAATTTTCTCTGGATGCTCAGGCAGCCTTTACGTACATCACAAAAGGGCAAAATGCGTTTGGGACGCTGTCAAGCAGACAGCAGCTGAGAACCGGCCAGGAGGCTAAACATAGCCTGGCCTGTTGTCAGATTCCAGCATTAGCTGTTATGTTTCCTCAGGAAGCCAGCCCTGCCAAGGCAGTGAGGGGATGCTTGTGTCAATGAAAATCTGTATTCACGTCCTGGGCACAAATCTGCATTCAAGGCCTATTTTTAAGTCTTATTAGCCTAACATCTAATTACTCTGAAAATGGGTTGCATGGATTGTAATAGTATAGAATGAAGTGTGAGGTGGATTTGCCCTTACCCAACTCCATGCTCTATGGAGCAGATCTGGTGCAGTACCTTGAGGTAGGTATTGGTGAGGATTGAAGACTCTCATGAGGTTTGAAACATACTACACCACTGGGCGTGGTGGCAAACCCCTGTAATCCCAGCACTCAGGAGGCTGAGGCAGGAGGATTGTTGCAAGTTCAAAGCCAGCCTGGGCTACAAAGTGAGCTCAAGGCCAGCCTGAACTGCATAGGAAAACCCTGTCTCAAAAAGAGAGAGAGAGAAAAAAAAAACGAAACATGCTAAGCCAAAATATGGTACCTTGGAATACTGAAAGAAAAACTTTTTTTTTTTTTTTCTTGGTTTTTCTCCGGTACTGGGAACCGAACTCACGACCTTGCGCTTGCCAGGCAGGCGCTTTTTGCCGCTGAGCTAAATCCCCAGCCCCTGGAAAAAAAACTTTTGGTGGTACTAGGGATTGAACCTAGGGCCTCGTACTGAGCAGTGTCCCCAGCCCTTTTCTCATGGGTTGACTGATTGATTGAACAATTCATTGACTGTGGAACTTGGGGTTGATCCCAGTGCCTTCACACAAAGTAAGCCCTTTTTTTGTTGTTGTTTGAGATAGGGTATTGCTGACTTAGTAAGTTGCCCCAGCAGGCTCCAACTCGAAATTCGTCTGTCTCAGCCTCCCAGAGTGCTGGGATTACAGGCATGCATCACCATGTCCAGCTGTATATTAAAATTTTAAGCTGAAGGAATTTGAGAATATAGAAGCTAGAAAGTCACTCTGACTCTAGTTCCTGCTCTTCTCTCTTGAAGGGGTTCTGAGAGGTGCCCTCCCTGTACCTGGACAAAAAGGAGCACCCTTATCCTTGCAAATGAGGAATGGTTTATATTTCTCCATGGCTATCCACTCTTCATCAAACAACATTAAAAATATTCAGGCTTAAATTGGATGGTGCACGCCTGTAATCTCAGCACTCAGGAGGCTGAGGCAGGAGGATTCCAAATTTGAGGCCAGTCTGGGTAACATGACCCTGCCCAGCCCCCTGGCCAGCTTAACCATTTACTTAGATCTTCATTTCCTTAAGAAGTTTCCCATGTCACAGTAAACTTAACTATGTATTTTTTTGTTATCTGTCTTTTGTTGTAGGAGTCTCAGCTATGACCCTAGCATTGGTGGATGTTACCGACCACTTAGGTCCATGTGCTTAGATTTGTCTGCTCACCACTGACCAAATCAAGAGAGGTCATTTATTTTGTTAAAAAGGAAAAAAAAAATTATTCAAAGGTAGCTCCCAGGAGAGGAGGGGCCTCTTCACCCAAATAGCCATCTCCTCCTTGTTCCCTCCAGAACAGTGAAGGGAAGGACTAGAATGAGACAGACATGATCAGTCCTGTTTTACCCTTTCTTGGACCTGGACCTCTCCTCCCTTCCCTGCTATGGAAATGAAACCAGACCACACCTCTAGGTGCCAGCATCTGTGCATTCTGTCCATTCATCTGGGCTGAGGAGAGGTGGGGTGGCAGATTATGCCCTGGGCCTGTGGAGGTTTGGAGAAGCTACATGTCTCTAAAGAAAAAAAAAAATCTAACTTTTTAAAAGTTCCGTTTTGTGGTGCTCGTTACAGAAGGAAAGTTATTTTGTGCCCCCGTGGTTTGCATAGGGGAAAAAGTGAAAGCATTTTAGAGCTTGCTTTGTCAGCCACGGGTGACTTTTCACCTCTCTGGTATGGGTGACTCAGAGGCTGCCTGGCTCTCTGAGCAGAAGGGACGGAGCCCCACACAGCTGCTGTGCGTCCTGCGCCTTCTCAGTTAGTAGCGAGCATCTCTCAGGCCTGCTGAGAGAAGAATCACACTTTTAACAGACCCTTCCCAAATCAAAATGACCACAGTTAACATCTGGGTACATGATAGCAACAGACACCACTCAGTATTTAATATGCGATTGCTCTGGAGCAACTGAGGACGCAGTTTCTGTTTATTAAATCTCTATGAACCATTTCAGTGGTGATGGGCCTGGGACGGACCAGGCTGGTTACAACAGTGCCATAGCTGTATCAGCAGGGGCAGGCTCTGCCAGGAAAGCACAAATGGCACAGGGAATGTACAAGGAATCTAACAATACAGATAGGTGTGGTTTTCTTTTTTTGTGAATACAAACTATTTTTTCAAATAAATACACTGGAATCACATAGAAAAAATTAATACAAGAATCCGATATATGAGAAACCATATGCCTCCCCCACATAGCAGGTTTAGAATGATCTATGCATAACCAAAAAGCTTTGGGGTGGTGTTCCTGTCTTACTGGCAATCAACAAAAGAACTACTACACATTTTTCTTTATACATATGTATTCTGTATAGAGTCCATGAATAGCTGAACAGCTGCAGAATTCTGATTTCTTTGTGAGTTATGGCAGCTAAGTAATACTGGGTACAATATTTGTAAGAACTGATTGTATATTAAATTTGACTACTCATCACTACAGCTGTAAGCCTACATACACCAAAACTAATATTACACATATTTAAAGATCAAGTTAGTTCCTCTGCGCTTAGAGGCAATCTTTTTCTCCCCTTTCTTTAAATTTTCATGATACCTAGTCACTTTGCTAGGAAAATTCAATACGTTGAAGTGTTAAAGAGAAGCAAATCCAATTTTAATCCCGTGTTTAAAAAATGAAAAGCATCTGCCATTGCCTAACAAAACACTCCTGTCACCTTTGTAAAGTCAACGTTAACCCAAATTGATGTTAAATCGCTCTTTCCTCCTCTGTCCCTCACCCTCCTCCACCAGTCTCAATCCGCCCGCCCGGCCCCCCCCCCCGCCCCCGCAAGGCAGGCTCCTCAGACCAGCCTTTTGCTTCTCACATGCAAGCTGGATTATAATTTAAATGCAAATCACCCCAGAGCCTCATCATCTAACTTTGTGGTGTCGATCTGGTGCGGTTGACTGCCGAAGCCTGTGAAAATTAAACGGAGGTTCATCTGTATTCTAACACATGCACGACTCAGAGTAAATTCAAAAGAGCAATTCATCACCGCTTTTAGATTTAAACACTGGTGTGAGGGGTGCCTAGGTTACCGCATAGGGAAGCTTTTCTACAAAGGCAAAGCGATAGGAACTTCTCCTCTTGCTGTTCAATTCGTTCTCAATGACACTAGGTAATTGAAATAAGAGACTTCATTTTAATACGAATACAGCCAGTTGAGTGGAAAAGAAACATCTATGGCAATGCTACACACAAATAGGAGGACAGTCTATATGTGTCCCAGACACTGCTGACAAGCAAATGATCAACAATGAATTATCAAATTGATATTCCAGAAGGCATTTTAAATTTTTTTTTTTTTTTTTGCAAAATCATCTTTCAAATATAAGATTACTTTAAAATAATTCTTTGGTTAAAGTATAATTAAAATAAAAAGTAGAAACTCCTCCAAGCCTTTCACTACAGGGTGAAAAATATCCCCCTTTCTCAGCCATCAGATGGCCATTTAATCAGCCATTCAGATTCTCTGAATCTAAATGTAGTGGGAAACACTGTCATCTCAACTCCTATCAGGGAGGCTCCAGGTGCCCGCAAAGTGATGGGGAAGAAACCCGGGAAAATGAAACCCTCAGCTTATGCGTTAAAATGTGCCAATTATGCTGGTCCATAAGGAATCGGTGTGGCATTTTAAAACCACAGAAACAAAGTTCTCCCTATGAATAGTACCAGGGCCTTAGCACATGCAAGTGGCATACTTGCACAAGAGCAACCTGTTTGACATTTGCAATCTTAGATTAAGCCCTTTAGCTAATTTCATTTCCACTGGTTTATTTCTGATAGCTTTCTAATTTAAACAACAATCCTTTGCACAAGAAATCATTTGATTCTTCTTTTCTGGCAATTCCTTTCTCCCTATCTTTGCTATCCTTCCTCCACAGATCACAGGTTTTCATAAGTATCAGTCTCAGGTCAGAAAGAATGAGCCTCAACTTCAGGTTGTAATGTCAACCTAGAGTTTTTGTACGAATTTGAAATTTGGTAATATAGTTGTCTTTCGTTACACATAGATTCAACATGATTTATTTCTTGGTTGGAGTCCAACTTCAATTTTTTAAGTAGGTAAGTGTGAAATAAGATTTTAATGTGAATTCTGATCACTCAGCCGTTTTGATAAGCAATCTAGTTAGTTACAGCAGAGGAATAAAATCTTCCTTGTACTCAGAAATTTCCACCTAAATTATTCAGAAAATTGTTTTAGATCCGTACTTCCTTTGGCTCGTGTAGACAGTTGGCTAAGGCTATACTGATACTGGAGTAAGGACGATGGAACGAAGCCCAGTCAGTCAAACTGATACATAGGACATCCTGAAGAGAGATGGAGAGGGTAACATATTCTCAACTGTATTTTATAAAAGTACAGACACTGTGCAGAACTCCTCCTACGGTTTCAAGGAAATCTGATGCGAAGCGTTCAAGTATTGTTCTGAGCAGTCAAAGCCCGTTAGAATTTGTGGTGAGTCTATAAACATTATAGACATGATTAAACAGTGGATCCACTTCTTTACAAATACCAGAAGAATGGGTGGCAGGGACATTAACTTCATGAAGTTAGCTGAAATGAGAGTTCTAAGGACTTTAGCGGGAGTATTTCTCTGCCAGAAATTTTAAGGTTAAAACATATAAACATGTCAGCACAGGGTTATTTTTATGGCCAGAAGGTGGAGCAATATTTCTGCATTGCTGGGAGAAACCACAATTTGTTCCTTAAAATGGAAATTTTATAACATATTTCTCTAGGTGTCTTTAAAAAATACAATCCTAATCCTTTTGCTAACATAGATAGCAAATCGTCTTTCACTTCCTCTTTTTCCCAGTGGCCATCAAATTTCAATTTCAAATTTCAATTTCAAATACAAGCATGGATTTGCTTTTATAAACCATATTTCTGGGGCTTAAAACTTAATCAATGTTCCTACAGCACATATAGATTTGTCTAACACTAATATTCCCTTTAAATGATCGGGATTTTACTTTGCACACACATTCTATTTGGTGAATTATATCATACCAGAACACTGTCTGTGGCTCTAACAGTTAGCTACTCACACAATTAAATAGACGTTGATAACTGATGTTTTGGTTTGATTGTCATTTATTTTTCTTTTAAATAAGCTCCTTCTAAATACAGGAAGTAGCTGTAAGGAGAAACCAGGATGTGACTCTCCAGCTTTCTTCAAACAGCGCTACCTCCTACAGATTTTTAAATTATCATAGAAAGACAAACAGAAAGAGGACAGCACAAGGAGCAGTGCAGCCATGACTGTCATCCGTTAAATTAGTTCCCTGACTTCGTTATACATCCCTGGTACAACTGGTGCATCTCTGGACCTTCTGTTTGGTTGGCATGTACTGGGAGAACACCACAACCTGGCCCTTGCTATGGTTTGTCAAGATGTGCACACTGCACAGAATGAGGTTCTTGCTGATCCAAATAATGTAGTCAACATACATCCTTTCAAAATGTCAGCCTCCTTAACTAACACTGTCAAGGTCTAGGGGCAAAGACAAGCAAATCTTGGTGACTCAGAAGTGCTGCGGCTCATTAGGCTGCAACACAGGTAATTCCAACATACTTTGTATTTTGCAAGTTCTCTGCATCTACCTTGAATATGTCTCACATTTATCTTATCTTCCTCTGGAGGATCTAAAAGTGTTTTGGAGAGCAGATGTGCTTTCTCTCCCCATTTCACAGGTAGAAGCAGGAAGGCACCCCACCTCCCCACCAGGAGAAAATGAGAAAGTACCAGGGCAAACGTTAGACTCCTTAAGCGGGTGTCTGGGAGTCAGCAATGCTAACGTATGGAGTCCACTGAGGATACAATTTGAGGTGTAGGCTAAGGACAACTCTCTGGGGGCCATGTTTTCTAGTAACCTTAGCAGGATTTCTCAGCTTGGTTTGGACTAAATTGAAAATGGAGTTCAAAAGCATGTCCCATTCCCAGACTAGATTCTGGACACACTCCTTCCTATAGCCCTCCTGAGAGGGGCTGGCTGCTCTGGTGGGGAGAAGTGAAGCTCCTTAGCCATGCATAGCCCGAATGAGGATGAGGATGGGCCTCTGCTGTAGCGGGCGCAGGTTCAGGAAAACAATTCTCCAAAGCCCTGTTAGCTAGGCAAGAGTCCAGTCCCAAGAGGATGGATTTTTCTCCCTCTGAATTGTGTCTTTTGCTCATTTACGCAGTCTCGCCATAAGAACCTTAAGCGTGAAAGGAAGTGTGTTAAATTTGAGCTGTCCACTTAGAATGCAGTGCAGAGTTTTCCACTGTTACTGGACACCCAAAAGATTCTTCTCCAAAACGTCTTATTCTCTCAGCCCTTGTGGGCTTACTCTTGCAGCAATGTTTCTCTCCAGTTGAAGCCCCCAGTGGGTCCATGGGTAAGAGGAAGGATGGGTGGGTCTGTCAGCTGCCATATTCCAGTTTCTCCTAATTCTTCACAGGAACAAAAGCCCAGGTATGGGATCTAAGGCAAGAGTAGTGGACAAAGGGGAGACAGAAGACAGAGTGTTAATGCCATAACTTTCAACTCTAGACAAAAGGGTATTCAGGTGGCCTCAGTGTAACGGGAATTAATAGGGTCATTGCAGAAATGCATCTCCTTCAAAAGCCAATAAATGACATAAAATGGATAGAATTGATCAATTGGAGAAAAGAGTACCTGTACTTGCTATGGCTTGTGTGTAGATGTCCCCCTTAAGCCTCACGTGGTCATAGGTTAGGTTTTTAAGAGGTGGCTCTTACCATGTGTGACGCTGGAATTGATTCATGGTGCAGTGCTAGGCTCAAGGGTACTAGGATTAAGGACGTGAGAACTACCACCCTAAGTAGGCTGGATAAAATATAAGGGATAGAAATAGATGTTGTCATCCCTGCTTGCTTGCTTTTGCTGTTTTCTGCTTGCCATGAATTGGTTCTCCTCTGGGATGCCCCTCTGCCAAGCTACCCTGCCTTGGAGCCAGCCAATTATGGACTGAAACTTCTACAAACTGTGAGTTAAATAAACGTTTCTTCACTTGACTCATGGGTGTTGGGTATTTTGTCTCAGCAGTGAGAAAAGTAATGAAGACAGTACTGCAAGAGTACTTCCAAGATCAGAAGGATCTATTAAAAGTGAGTGCCCTATTATAAGTAGTTGTTTATAGATTGCTGCTTAGTAGGGTAGGGAAAAGAGAACAAAATTGTATATACTAGTTGCCCCTTATCCATGTGTGGGTATGTTCCAAGATCCCCAGTGAATGCCTAAAACCTCAGACAGTTCTGAACCATATATACAGCTTTTTTTCCTATAGATATATATCTATGATAATGTCTAATTGATAAATTAGGCACAGAAGAGACCACCAGCAATACAAAATGAAATAAAATATAACAGTATATTCTAGTGAAAATTAAGTGAATGTGGTCACTGTAATAAAAGAAATGTGACTGTGATCTCTCCTTTTCTCTTATTATAGAGTCCTCCTGTATTTTGGGGTCTTAGTTGGCCATGGGTAACTGAAACCTCAGCAAACAAAACCTCAGATAAGAAGGATCCGTTGTAAAGTTAAGGACACAGGAGTTAACCCCTAATTGCATGGCAGGTTAAAAAGGCACCTCAGATATTTCTGAAATGACACCTGAGCACAATGGGAAGAAAGATTATTCAATTTTTAAAAAACTTGTTCCACCTTTGCTTTGTCTTTTTTCAGGAAGTGCGTGGTACATACGTGTCTGTGTGTCTTTGTTAACTTGATAATTTCTTTTTTTTTTTTCCCCTTTTCTTTTTAACCTGACAGTTTCAAAACTTACTTTCTTGTTAAGTGTCCAGAGATATCCATAAATGAGAGAGAAATCCCTGCCCTCCAGCAGTTTACAGATCACTGGGAAAGACAGACGCATAAGTAAGCTTTTTAAAAATGAGAAAGAGTTTGAACAGGGTGCTTGGTAAGGAAAGGAAGTGGCAGACTTGCCTGAAGGGGCTGTGTGGGAGGTAGCGGACCAGAAAAGCTTTTTCATAGGTGCAAAACAAAACAAAACAAAACACCAAAAAAACAAAAGTAGGGGCCAGCCCCTGAGGTTCTCTCTTGCTGCCTTGTTCCTAGGTTTGCTTTTCGGTGGGATGAGGATCACTGTAATTACTTGCCTCCCCGGCCTGGCCTCCCTGTTAGGACCTCTCCTCTAGCTAAGCTTTTGGCCATGTTTTGAGCTCACGTCTGTTCCTCTGCTCTAAGGTCCCTTATTGCTTATAATTCTAAGCTACTTCCTAAATTTTAGCTTTTACAAGCTGGGACTAGTGCTAACACGTATTTTCCTCTTACACAAGGCCTAATAAAGTGCCTTACGCAGAGTCCCACTCAATACATCTTGGTTAAGTGAAAATGAATTCTCTTAGCTCAGTGTAAATGCATGCTTCAAAGAAATCAGTTAAGAGCCGGTCACTGAACTGTTATTAAACTACCAGGCATCTTGGGCCCCCTAAATGCAAAATGAATTACCTTTCGGACCATTTGCACGAAGTCCTTGGAGTTCTGAGGTGACAGGCCCTGAAGCTGGCAGGTACATGCTTCCAGGGAAGATGCATGGGCCACAATGAGAATGTTATTTCCTGGGGACGGAAGCAAGGAATGGGAAGATTGAACTTAGCAAATATTGCACTGAAAGCTATGTGTTCTGGGTCAAGCATTCTCAAAAAGAAGACAAGTTGTCCAAGCAATACTGTAAAAATTCTTATCATTAAGGTAGCCTATTTAAAGCAAAGATTTTATCTTAAAATAATTATACTCAACACAAAGAAATGATACATGTTTATGGAAAGGGAAAAGCTAATTACCCTGACTGGATAATTACCACTGTATTTCAATTACATTGAAATATCATACTGTACCCCATTAACATGTACAATTAGTACGTGTCAAAACATTTTTAAAAAGGGACAGAGGATGTAACTCGGTGGTAGTGTGCTTGCCTAGCACGCATAATGCCCTAGGTTCAATCCTTCGCCCTGGAAAAAAGAATTTAGAAAGGAAAAAGGAAGAAGAAAAAATTATTCTATAGATTCACAGTGGGGACATCTTTTGTAATTATGGTACACTATGAAAACCAGGAAATGAACACTGATATAACTTATGCATCTTATTAAATCTCTTCCAGGCTTACAAGCCTGAATTTGTGTATGAGTGCACAGTTCTAGGCAGCTCAGTCAAGATGCACAACTGTCCCACGTCCACAGGGTTCCCTGTGCCAACCCTTATACTTCAGGCTTAAATGTTACCACTGCAGAATGGTGATTACTGGAAACCTGGCCAAGAGCCCCTGCTGAGTGTCTTCATGACAGTGAGCGGCTTAGGCTGATGACAAGATGGGACCCATCTGTCCACTGTTGTCCACTGGAAACAATTTCTTGTACATAATTCCAGTCTGTGCTCCATGCACATAACATTTATACTGAGCAGTTAGTCCTACACGTCACTAAATATTTGAGCTCAATTTTGAGCAACCACAACAGCAAAAAGACTTGCACCTTATACAGCATTGCTCTTGGTTGGTGGCAACAGGGACAGAAGGTGTGTCTGTGTAGACGGATTTGTGTGTGGAATCCATGCTCCTGGATCAATTATAGGCAAGCAGTGTTATTCGAGACAGCTTCTAGAAATTGCAATAGGGGATCTGCATAAAGTGCAGGAAGTTTACTACAACACAGAAGTTACATTATTTAGTATCGTAACTAAGTCTAGTGTGTTCCCCTGGAATACCTAGCATTTTACGTACTCAGAAATGTTACAAATTTAATGTGAAACCATCTAGAAGACAGTTTAGAAATATATTTCTTCTCTATTAAGCAAGTCTCTCAGAGCAAGTTCACACACTTTGAATATGCTATAATTAGCCATGATAGATAAATGACTACACATTTAAATATGCAGTCCAATATAATACCACCTAAAGAAAGGAAAAAAAAAAACAGTATTACTTACCTTTACCTTTACATTCACTTATTATCTCTTTTGTTACTTGGAAACTTCTACTGATGTAAGTATCATAGGATTCGGAAACCACTAATTTGCTGACTGGAATGTGAGGTCTGTAATATAAAAACAAACAAAGGAAACTAAAATATTTTGATCCTGACACAAAGCAACTGATGTCACTCTAAATCTTCACTTCAAGGCCTTTTTAGAGTTCCCCTATATCTGTTTATCTATTTCCCTAGAAAAGAGAGGTACAGGATTTCTACTATATGGAGGTCGGGTTGACATGGGCAGAAACAAAGGCTACATGTATGGTATCATGGTGACCTGTCATTCACAGTGTGACTATGCAGTTCGGCTACTTTATTGTACATTGGTCACTGATATCCTAATCACATAGCTAACGAGAAGCAAGGAAGAGATGAGATCTCTTTATTTGATCACCTGGAATGTCCCAGGCCTCCCTTCAGAGGCCTTACACACAATAAACTGTGAGGATTAGTTTTTAAAGCAGGTGTTCAGTCCATCTGGTTTGTGAGGTTATGAAATTTCCATCAGCTTTTTCCTTCTTATTTTGAACACAAAACATACATTAAGTCCTCAACTTATGAACACTCGAGTTGTGAACTTTCACGAGTATACTGTGTAAGATTCACCTTGTCAGACTGTAAACAAATCAGACTTAGGAACGTTCCTAAGTCAGAGACTCACTGTACCTGGTACTACAAACCTAGGGAGCATAAAGATGAAGAGAATCCAATTTCTGTGCTTGAGAAACTCTCTGTGTGGAGGGACTGGGTGGGAAGGCCACTGACGTATTATGGTAATTACGGTAATTATGACATCATCTAAAAGGCCTTTTAGAAGGACCAAAGCACCCACTGTGGTAATCAGTCAGCAATACTTATGGGGTCCTGCTTCCTCTGCTTGCTGCCGCCCTTCTTTACTATTTAGTTTCTGGTCTCTCAGAGGTTCACCTTGTTGTTTGAGAATACCTATGTCCTTTAAGTGTTCTATTTTTTCACTGCATCTTCTATTGCTGGGTGTGTGGTCCCTGGTGTAGGTGTATGTTCTCAAAGTGAAATTTAAGTCATGTCCAGCAGAGTACATTACTACTACTGCTGCTATTGGTACTAGAAAAACATTTATGAGAGGTTCCCATGCATCAGACCCTACGCCAGTGCCCTGCCTGCATCCTTCTGTATAATCTTACCAGCAACACTTGTGTGAATTCCAAGTTTCAGGATAACAAAAGTGAGGCTCCGAAAGGCAACAGTTGACTTGCTCACACTGTTAGCAACTCTTAGAGCCTAGACTTGAGTGTGGGTCTCAGGTCTGGCCTGTGAGCTGCTCCTCCGCTGGAAAGCTTTTGCCAGTGCCCTCGGCAGGCTGGTTTTCTGTGCACTTGGCCTTACTATGCAGACAGGAGGGATGATATTGTTCTATGTGGAGGAGGCCTGCACTTGTCTAACCTCTCAGCCTCCATGTTTTTTCTGGGGAACAGCTCCTGACTCTCCCCCTACCCTGGGGATAGGTAGAGACCCGAATCACCACTTGTTAGGGCTCCACCTGTTTGTTCTAAGGCAAATTCTTTCTCTCCCCATTCCTACCTCTCATCCAGTTCCATTACTATTTACATCACCTGGTCTCCATGGAGCTGTCACACTGAGCCCCTCAAACACTGAGGAGCAAGGCCACTTTGCGGGTATGGTTCATGGAGTCATTTCAAGGGTGAGACCACTTTGTGACAGATAGGACTTATGTAAACCAAGGACAAGATGGTTGCCAGGATCGAGATCCTCTTGATCAATTCTTGCCTTTGGCCTTTCCCAGGATCTTGAAGTTGAACCTATGAATGGCTCCAGTCTGACAGTCCTGATGGACAAGGGACAGTGAGCCACACCTGTAGCATCCTGTATTGTCCACTGAGTCAGGTGGGCTTGCAGCCACCACCAGAGCTGGTCCTCAGTGCTCCAGGTTCTCAGGTGGCGCCTACAGAAAAGCCCTCTTCCTCGTCTACTCCCCACTTCCTACCTGCTCTTGCAGGCTTTTGGCTTGAGCCCAAGCCCAGGCTTGATTTGTTGTCCTCCAGCACCACACACTGATGCCCCCTCTCAGCTCCTCGTCTCCGTATGTCAGGGCCCAGTTCCTCTTCTAAAGCCCCACCTCATTCATACACATTTCATTTTTTTCTGCCTTTGCCGCCCTGCTAGCTTCCCAGAACTGGGGCTGCTGTCTCCACACAGCCTCTAGGCTGGTCTTGCGCCTGTGGATATGCTCGGATATGAGTCACCAGTCTGGAGAGTTTCCCCAACCCGACTTCTAGTGCCTCCTCCCTCCTGTTCTCTGCTGGGCTCTGCTGCAAGATGACAGGGCTCTTCAGAGACAGAGCGCTTGACTCGTGTTAGCCTGGCCCTGGGGGCTTGTGTCTCCTCTCAACACCACACGCCTCTATCATTTGGGAGTCGCAAAGGGGCTGTTCATTTGGCATCAACTTCAGGAGAAGTTTCGGTCTAGGACCGTGTCTCTCGCACACTTTTAACTTTGGCCTTCTCAACCTATTTGTAGAACTGGAGGCTTCATCCTCTTGGCTCCATCCCAAATAAGAAATGATTGAATTAAAGTTGCTAAAGAGGAATTTGCTAAAGAGGAAAAGGAAATATGGAATAAGAACTGTGCCCTGAACCCCAAGTCCCCAACATTCATCCTTCATCGCCCTGCTGCTGGGGTGTGTGGTCTGTGTGCACCTGAGTCGGGGTCTGTGTGTGTACCGAAAGGCTCAGCAAGGACAACCCTGGGAGCTCCGCAGCCCAGCTTGGGAAGCACAGCAGATTCTTCTATGGGAAATGGAATACATTCGCAGTCAGCCTGAGTTGGCTGGAATGAGGCTGGATGGAGAATGATGAAAGTCACTTCACCAATGTTGGCAGTAGCTCGCGCTCTTTCTGGGCCAGAGGGAGGATGCCTGTTGGCCTGCAGACAGCAATTCATTCCTATCCACGCCTGCTTCCCCAAGAACAGGAAAACAGTGGTCATAGAACAAAATGTGAAATATCTTAGTAGGGGGCCCGACTGACTGATTTTCAATTTTTAAAAATTTTTTATTTTAAAAAAAAAAAAACAATAGCAAAACACCAACAACATAGACAAAACAAAACAAAGCAAAAACAATAAAAATGATACAGAGTAAATAAAACCCAAAATGTACAATAGGTATTATGAAAGGGAAAGAAATTGCTCAAAGGAAGGAATGACTGGGATAAGGGAAAAAACAAAAATAAAGAAATAAGGAAAGGAAAACATATATATATATATTTGTATGTATATAGAAAGGTAGCTGGGATAACTGTACTGCTGATATCTAATGGTTTATTGAAAGGAACAGTTAATGCCTAATTATTTTTCTTTTTGACCAATTTTGCATGCTTATATCTGGTAATCTGAACAACTTATTTGAAGACAACAATATGCAGTATAACAACCACTAGTGAATTCCTACCATCTTGTCTAGTGAAACTCTGTATCATTTCTAATGTTTTAATTTTTTATTATCTTTAATGGTTTGACAGATTTAATTTTATCTTTGAGGATTACAGATTCCTTTAGGGTAAGACGAAATAGCACACACTTCAGTAATCAGGTTATCTGAGGGCTTCTCTGCAGAGCAGAAAAATGAGTATAGAGGAAAAACGGTATTCTCACCTTCCTTAGCTAGAAACTCCTACTGCTGCATCTGGGGTTTGGGTAGGTATTTCGAACTGATAGACCTCACAAAGAAGACACTGCACTTGTCCCAAGTTCTACTCAAGAAATATCATTTGAATGTCCCACCACTTGGCTATGACTGCCTCTCCTTTCACACAGATCTTACAAACACTAAGTGAATTTTTGTTAGTTAATGTAACAATATTATTGTTAATGAATTCTTTGTTTTTTTCTGGTACCGGGAACCAAACTCATGACCTTGTGCTTGCCAGGCAGGCACTGTGCTGCTGAGCTAAATCCCCAGCCCCGTTAATGAATTCTTAATTGTGTACTTGTGATCTATGAAGCTATTCATAATTTATACTTAAAAAAAAATCTCAGCATAGATAGGCTATTTATCTAAGGGGAAAAAAATCAACAGAAAAGAATTGAGAATGGGGCTGGGGATTTAGCTCAGCGGCAAAAGCGCCTGCCTGGCAAGCACAAGGTCGTGAGTTCGGTTCCCGGTACTGGAGAAAAACCAAAAAAAAAAAAAAAAGAATTGAGAATGACTGTAAAGCATATTACACAATACTTGAGAAGCTGAAATTGATCAATAAATGCTAGCTGTCATCATTATTACTTCTCTGTGTGGTCACTAAATGTATAACTTTACATGAGTCACTTGAACTCCTTTATATATAAAAGGGGCTTGCTGCTCTGGGGTATGTGACTCCTTGGCATACCGTTTCCCTAGTATGCACGAAGCCTCGGCTTCCATCCTCAGTACCACAAAAAATTTTAAGGAGTGGCCTTCTAGCATTCCAGGATTAGAGCAATAGTAAATAAGCACAGAATAGAGAACTAAAACTGCTTTGAAAAATTAAAAGTGGAAATCCAAGGTAAGGCATTGTCAGTGCCCTCATCTCTTGAGCTTCTGGACTACATTATCCTTAGTGGATTCGTGTTCCCGGAATGCAAAATGGTTTTATTACCAGACTGAAACGGATGCCGTAAAGTTAGAAAATCCAACACAGGAGTGGGTTGGAGCGGGATGTATAAGTCATACTAATGGTAAATACAAAGGCATGCTGGCTTTTTTTGTTTGGCTTCGGAAATTATAGTTTGACTTCAACCCCTACTGACAAGTTCATAGGCTGGCTGGCTGCCCCTTCATCTGCTTGATCAGCCTGGTCTAGTGACAATGTGGACAATGTTTTCACATTGGCCCTGGGGAGCAGCAGTTTCAGGGGTTACCTGTAGGTTGTATCAACACTCAGGTTGGCTGCAGCTAACTCTGATGGAGGTATCCATGCAGGTAACGTGTTCCCAGCAACCCACTTTGTCCACTCAAATAAACCAGGCTCCACACGAATCTTTAAGTGGTTCTCTTGTTGTAAACCTTAGGCATAAAATAAAACAAAATGAAGATGAAGGAAATGCCATTATGGTCTCAGTGGAAAAAGAAATTATAGGCCAAACTACTATAAAAATTTTAAGTCAGTTATTCTTTTTCCTACTAGATGCTACCCATAGCTGAAAGAAAGTGGGAAGCATGCGGACTTGGACAAGGCTTATAACTTTTGTATTTTACAAACACATTGAGTTTAATGCTCAGGCTATAATTTTGGGATGAAGGACAGCCTTAAGTCATGTCTGATTTAAGGGGAAAAAACTCCCATGAGTCATTGATAATTTATTCAATTTTGTGATGATTATGATTTCTCTTTCTAAAGTAAATTCCACGATTGTCTTACCAAAAAACTTAGCTAGCCTCCTAGCCTCCACAACTGTGCCACAGCTTAAATTATATTTAAATATCATGTAAACTGTTTATCTTTGTCCAAAAACCTAATGTTTTATGGACCAGTGCAGAAGCCATGTGCTTTATTGGACTGCAATTACTCTCAGCATATGAACTGTCCCCTTTATATTGGCTTAGTTTTTTTATATTGTGTTTAGTCTGGCTTCTCTGTGCAAATTTAATACAGAAATGCTTCTATAGGGAAGGGAAGGTTTACTTAAGGTTAAAGAATAGAAGACCCATACGTAGTGTCAAACTCTTTACTGGCTTGTCTGTTTCGTCTGTTTCTGCCTCTTGTGTTGTCCCATCCAACTCTTTCTTTTCCTGTTTTTCTTCCAGTGAAATGAGAATGGAAATCTTTGAACTGCAGAACTATGTGGGTTTTAGGGTGGCAGCTGAGTGGTGCTTTCAAAGTCTTTCTTATTAAGTTTTTTTTTTTATGGTATGGGGAATAGAATTCAGGACCTCACACTTGCAAGGCAGGGGCTGTGCAACTGAGCTAAATCCCCAGCCCTTTCTTATTAACTAAAGCAACAAGGACAATCAACATTTGAGACTCCCGGCAGCACCACTGGGGCTGTAAACAACAGATTAAAGCTTGGTGAAAAACTATTTGACTATTTAAGTACAAAGAAAAGATCCCTGCTCTATAAGCTCTAAGTGGTTTGCAAGCCTACAGCTCATTCAAGAGAGCTTTCAATTCTCAGGAAAAACATTATTAGTGTATTTCTTTTTATCTGCCTTATGCTGTCAGAGCATGCATGTGTGATTTGAGCAAGATCAGTATTCTTGTGAAAGAATCCTTGCTCACAAGTCCAGATTCAAAACTTTCAATTGGTGAACGCTACGATACTCAGTCGTCTAGACATAAGGGACTAATGGGTTCTTGTCAACCTGAGAATCTTACCTTTCAAGATATTGTGTGCAGTCTGAACGCAGCGTAGGGATGGGGAGCAATAGACGTGATCGATGATGGTGTTACTTTCTAATAAGGCTTCACCTGCAAGGAAAGCCAAGGAGAATCAATCTCCTCGATTTACTTGGACTCAGCTCGACCCCTGTGTAATGTGTTTCCAAGCAGATCCAGTGGACCCCTCTCTCCTACTGCGGGTCCACGTTGATCCAGGAGCATCAGCCTTGTTTCCAACAAATCCCCTCACCAGAGTGCCTACAGAAGAGGCCAAGCAACAGGCCCCTTTCTTTTTTGTTTCATTCTTTCTCCTTGGTGGCTACAGGTGGCAAAATAGCCTCATAAGGGAAACTTGGAAATAAGATAATGCCCCGACTTCAAGCAGGACAATGTTCTAATAATCTCTCTACAGTGAGGAAGACAAAATTAGATCTTGCTTTAATTTCATTCTGTGCTAACCAAACCCTCAACTGGTCATATTCTCAGATGCCAGAGATAAACCCCAACATCTGATGCTTTAATGCTTGCCTTGTGGAATCCACTTATTTTCTCCACCAGGTAAATCAGCACTTTATACGGTGGCCACGGTCTTTTGTGAACTTGTCTTTATTCATCTTGCCAGTCTATCCCTTGCCCGGCCTCAAAATTTATGCTCTAGACACCACACAGCTTGTTTTCCCTGCCACCTTGATGCTGTTTCTTACTTCTATGACTTTGTTTACATTGTTTTTTCTCCTAAGAACGTCCTTCTCTTCCTCTTGCTCATTCTCCTCACCCACCTCTCCTCTTATGACTTTGTCTTTCCTTTTTACTTTTTTTTTTTTTTTTTGAGACAGGGTCTCACTATGCACTTCAAACTGGCCTTGCACTCACTTTGTAGCCTAGGCTGGTCTCAAACTCGCAACGATCCTCCTGCCTCAGCCTCTCAAGGGCTGGGATTACAGGCGCGCACCACCACGCCCGGCTTGTCTTTCCTTTTTAGGCTTTTGTGCTCCCGCAATATTCTGTGCACGGGCATATTATTCAGGGTACCACACAGTAGGCTATTTATCCACATATAAGTTTGTTTCTACAAACTCACACTTGGGCCCTCGATACCTAGCCCAGTGACCTGTGTAAAGTAAGTGACCAATAAGTATCTGGGAAATGGCTGAATAGCACAGGGCATTGTCCCTGCATGGCTGATACGGATCAGGGCTGCACAGAACTGAGTGTCTTCAAGCATTAACTGGCCTCTGTATATTCAGCAGTTTCTGGGCTTCTTCCTCACCACCCTTGCTCGCTTCTTAGGGCCATGTTGCACTTGCTTGGTCAGAAGCTGACCTGTCTGTTGCTACAGTGTTATAAGTAAACCAAGTATAGGACCTTCCCTACCATGCTCCTGAGCAAGGACACATTGTGTTCATTTTGTAAACCAAGCCAGTGTCCAGAACCTAATGGTTGTGTAACAGATCCCTTTTGAACTGAAGAAATACATCTATCACTGTTGGAAAATGATGGAAGGTCCCCAGAAGCGACACACCCATGGCACCAGTCTCTTGAAGAAGCCAGGAAATGCTGGTCAGTCACTCTGGAACACGTACCCACTAGTCTTGCTTGCATGCACCCAAACACCGTGATGGGAGCATCTTTCTCATAATCCCGGAAGCCACCACTCCGCTGAGGTAAGCTGTGAGGCATGTTCAGGTTGGTGCGTATGTAGCGGCCTGGAAGGAAAGGGTGGACAGAGGCCACGTGAGTTTCTTGTTCTTGGGATTTGCCTTGTTGATCTTGACACCCCCTCCCCTTCCTTCCTGGCCGAGAGACTGAATTGAGCTCTTTGGAGCCGATATAAAATATTGAATCTGACACATTTTATTCAGTAGACTGGTGTGGAATCTACTCTTCTGCTCTGCTGACAAAAGTGACAAGAGGTAGTTTCTAAGTGAAAATGACAACCAGACACTCTAGGTAGCATTTTCTGACACCTATCTTACAATGCCCTGCAAGTGAAAAGGGAACCAGAGGAGCCAGGTGATGGAATGGAGGGGATTCTGGCCATGGAATCATGACATGCCCCTGAGACTGACTTTGTCATATGACCATGGACAAGACATTTCTTTGGTCTCTTGTGCCTCAGTTTATACAGTGGGGATAAGAATACTTAGCTCTTCCTAAGATTGAAGACAATCAGGAAGGACAACAGATTATAGGCATTTTCTAATAGCATTTAAACTCATAAATGACTCCAGGTAGGTAAATGTAGCTTGTCTATGCCCCCTAGAGGCCATAGTTGGTATGCCAGGTCACCAGGTTTACCAACTACAGTAGAGTAGTTCCTCTCATACGCAGAAGGTGTGTTCCAGGACACTCGGCGAATGCCTAAACCCTGATACTACTACTGAACATTGTACATATATGGCATTCTTTTCTACACAAGCATAATTATGATAGCATTTAATTCCTAAATTAGGCACAGTGAGAGGTCAATAATAACAGAACCATGTTAACAATATACTTCAATAAAACTTATGTAAATGTAATCTCTCTCTCTCAAGACAGAGTTCAATTTAAAACTTATGAATCATTTGTTCCTGAAAATTTCCACTTAGTATTTTTAGGCTGTGGCTGACTATGGGCACCTGAAACGACATTGAGTAAAACCATGGATAAGGGGCCTGCAGCACTTACCTTTGGCATCAAAGCACTGAGACAGCCAGTACTTCCCAAAAACAACATCCATCCTCTCTCCGTGCCGGCACACAAAGAGGCACCGCTTCTGAGGGCCAGGCTGGCTGTTGACTCTCAGAGGCTGCGGAGGAAGAAAAGGGAATCCCAAGGAAGCACGCAGCTCAGTAGACACGACCTCGCGTTTTGCCAAGGTGTGGCTTTAAAAAGTCCCTGAGAACCTTGGATTCTGGCTGGCTGTTTGTAAAATAAAAATTTTAAGACCCATGCCACAGACCTCACAAGTTATTATGAAGCTCAACGGAGATAAACTGCAGGTGTTTTGTCAAATAAGGGTTATGCAATAGTGCACTCCTGTAACCCCAGCTACTTAGGAACCTGAGGCACGAAGATTGCAAGGGTCAGCTGGGCAACTCAGTGAGACCCTGTCTCAAAACATAAATAAAAATGAACTGGGGATCTAGCATGCATCAAGTGTTGGGTTCAATTTGTAGTACTGCAAAAAAAAGGGAAGGGGTGCTCTGACAGTGGTATTATGGCTGCCAGTGTTTTCAGTAGAAGTAGCATTTTGTCACTACTAAAACACAAAGGCCAAGTGAGTTACAGCTAGGTAAAACTGGCCATTAGTGTAGTCATTCAGCGGGACTGCTTTCCTTTGCAAAGACACGCTTCATTAGCTTCGTCAGGGACCAAGGACTTCTATTGTCACAAAGGTGTCTGCCTCATCTCTAAAATGTGGTGCTGACCTACAGACATTTTGGTCCTATGGAAAGAAAGAATGATCACAGTGCCAACAGCTCTTTTATATTCAGTGCTGTCTGCACCAGCTGTGAAGCCTGGTTTGCCCATTCTAATCACCATGCGGGCTGTGCTATCTGACTACATAGGTGTTGATGTTCCCAGAAATGGTTTCGGGAGGACAGCAGCTACTCTTCGGTAATAAAATAGGCAAATCTAGTCCAAGATATGTCCATGTGCTTGTGGTTTCTGTGACTGCTGGTGGAACCATACAGATGTTTCTATTCCTTCTTAACAATAGCCAGCTCTTGCCATCTTCCTGGGTGCTGCTCCTGGGTCCACGGCAGTCAGCCCTTTCCATTAGCTTCTAGTTACTCTGACGAGGTTAATGTGTGGGTTGTGGGGAATCCTTTTCCATCTTCTTTCCTACCCTTCCCTAATTCACACCCTGAGCTCCAGCCAAAGTGCTCTACTCTCTTCCTCCTCACCACGCTTGAAGTTTCAACTTGCCTCTGTCCATACTGCTCAGCAACTACTCTTCTCTACCCTCTTCCCTGACCTCTCTTGGAAAGGTAACATATTGTACACTCACTCCCCATATGCCACTGTGCTAGGAGCCTTATTTTATTATTTTCTTTAATCTTCACAATAGTATACAAAGCAGATACAACTGTGGGCATCATTCCTACTTTAGAGAGAAAAATCTGCCTCCTCTGCAGAACAACCTTCCTTCCTAGCCCAGACTCAAATACTGGTGGTCATTGTTAGCACCACTCACTTGACTCTTCCTAGCCTTGAAGTAGATTTTCTAGTCTCTTGTGTGCTGTATTCTCGGGTCAGAGAAGCTCTGGGGGCAGCAAGGACAACGCTGACACTTAGTAAGTCGGTGGTCAGTGGGTCACGATTAGACTTGAGGATGGGACCCCGATCATCAGTCTCACCTGCATGGGCTGGCAGATGATAGTGAGAGGCGACGTCTCTCCGAGTCCCTGGTCCTCATAGTGCCGCCTCTCTAATACGCCATCACCAAATGTAAGCGAGGTGGACGATGCCGTATTTAAGATGGAGTAAGAACTACAGAGGAAGATGAGGAAGATGTTAACTGCTTTGGCCACGAGTCATCTGCATTCCACGCTGACGAGGAGGAGCAGGAGACCCTCCCCGCAGCACAGCGCTTGGGTAAGCTGAGCAGAGCGCACCCATCCCTGAGGATGAACATCTTGTTTTATACTGAAGTCCTGCAGCTAATAAGTGAGGAGTCAGTGGACTTCTGTACTGAGAACAGATGCTCTTATCCCTCTGGGTAGGGATGGGATCCAACAGTCTCATGCTTATTAGGATGTCACAGGCAGGGCTGGCACCAAGACATGTTAAAGAATAATAAAGCATCAATTAGGTACCACTGTTTTCAGCTATTTTTATGGTTCAAATGAAATAAACAATTCCCTCTGCTTTTAGTCTTTTCCATGGTAATTTCCATCTGACGAGACGAATAAGGAGGATTTTTTTGAAATTCTTTCCATCACATTGCCCATGGCTCTTGCTAAGTTGTCCAAGCTGTGTTAAACTGTTGGCTCCTGGTCGCCAGTGCCATGCCCAGCTTAGTTGGATTTTTTGAGACAGAATCTCACTGTGGAGTCCAGGTTGACCTTGCATTTGTGATGCCCCTGCCTCAACCTCCACAAGTGCTGGGACTCCAGGAGTGTACTACCACTCTGCTTAGAATTTTATTTTTGAAAGTAACTTCGTATATCTTCCAAGAACACTGAGCTAACTGGTTTTCACCAGATTTTCTTTAAAAAGAATTATATGATTAAAATACTTATGCATTGTCTTTGCTCTCAGAAGTGCCCCTCGTATCTTTTATTTTTAAATGACAAATGATAAACTCACTCTACTAATAAGCAAAGTTCTCAAAGGCCTTATACCCTGAAAAACTGTGCATATCAGAACCTTTAAACACTACTCCTCACAGAGGGTGACTCAGGGGTGTGGGTGCAACCAGGAGCCGACAGTGTAACACAGCTGTGTCAGTAAGTTTGCTGTATAGCCAAATGCAACCTCTTACGAGCACGTTTAAGTAACTGTAGCCCAAGGAAGTCTCATGCCAGTCACACAGTCTGACAGACCAGCAGTTTTCCTTTATTTTACACTGACACCCTGCAGAATGTCGGAGTTACAGAAAATTCAGTTTTCCTGTCTGGTTCATCAAAGCTTCAGGGCCCGGAAGTGTCTGGCTCTCTGGAATCGGGCTGACATCCTGCATGTACTTGTCTCTAATTTCTTTATTACAGCTGGGAAGACACTGATAGGATTGCTTCTCTTCCCCCTTCAGCTTACTTGGCAAAGAGAACATCAGCCTCCTCTTCTCCTGTCATTGGAATCAAAGGACCTGACTCCCCTTGAGACAGCGTGCGTGTGTGTGTGTGTGTGTGTGTGTGTGTGTGTGTGCACACGCACGTGTGTGCGTGTTCTCAGAAGACAACAGTGGGTGCTATATGTTGACAACACGGTAGGGAGGAAGCCAGGGTGACCCCCAGAACTTCTTCTCAACACTTTGGAGGTGCTGACTCCTTCCTAGAACACAGTTGGCCCGTGGCCTGAAGCACAGTCCCCCACTTCAAAGGACACATTGGGGCTCCATCAGCTGCCAAATGCCCAGGGGCACTATGAGGCAGGGAGCACAGGCCAGGAGGGCAGTGGGAGGTACCCAGAGGACTGAGGGGCACAGGGCTGGGAGGGGTATTCAGGGCTCTGAGCTGGGTCCCCTTTGCATGTTCCCTCCAGGACAGTCAGTCTGGCCAGGACGTTGGCCCTGGGCTCCACCCACTCTGGTCTGTTGCTGGTTAGGACAACAGGTGGGTGGTCACAAGTGGAGCCGGGCAGTGCCTCCAGGAGGCATAGCCACCTGGGCTCAAACAGAGAATGGCTTTGTGGAAGAGACATTTGATTTGATGAGCATGGGAGTGAGGACCGGTGAACACAAGACAGAAAAAAAGAATGCTCAGAACACTAATGGCTACTGTACATTCAGTGCTGTTGTATACCCGACATAGATCCTTGGAAAGCTAAGCCCTGGGAGGTAAGTGCAATAATTATCTCCACTTTATGATGAACAAAAAGAGGCTGAGAGGTGATAGCATCTGGCCAAGGCCACTGGTTAAAATTCTTGTTTTTTTTTTTTGAGACAAGGTCTCTCTTTGTAGTTCAGGCTGGACTTGAACTCACGGTGTAGCCCAGGCTGGCTTCACACTCACAGTGGTCTTCCTGATTCAGCCTCCTGAGTGCTGCGATCACAGGTGTGCACCACCAGATTCTTAATCAGAATGTTCTGATGCCTGGTGCTAGAATTTCCTCACTCCAGCAACGTTGGCTGTGGATGCTGGTAGCGGGATTTCAAACATGATTCCTTGGAAACATCACTGGTAACCTCTTAAAGTAAAGGGAGAAGGCACACAGAGGGTGTGACCTGCCGATTGAAGTCACTTGGGCTCAGCCAGTTCTCAACCTGAGCCCACATTAATTCAGGGACAGGTGGTATAGAAGGGAGGTTCTTCCTTGGGTCAGGAGGGCTTTTCACGTATTCTCTGCTGCCACCTGGAGCCCATGGTGAGTGAGGCAGGAGAGCTGGGGGCTGGGTTTCCTCTGACCAATCATTTTTCAGCTCTGTCTATCCATACATACAGCAGTTGTCACTTAACGATGTGCACACATTCTGAGAAAGAGGGTACTCAGCTCAGTTGGATGCCATGTCACCAAGCGATACAACTTTCCTGGCCCTCTGCCATACGTGGGTGCCCTCCCTGCCTGAAACATCACAAGGTGGTTTATGACAGGGTTTTGCTGTTTTTTTGGTCTTTTTTTTTTTGAGACAGGGTCTCACTATGTAGTTCAGGCTGGCCTTGAACTCACTTTGTAACCCAAGTTGGCCTCAAACTCGCAATGATCCTCCTGCCTCAGCCTCCTGAGTGCTGGGATTACAGGCGTGCGCCACTGTGCCCAGCGCCCTGTTTGTTTTTATACAGATCAAACGGTACATTGGAGATCCAACTTCTTCACTTTAAACCATTTCTGAAAAAGCACTTGTCTGGGGAATATGAGGCGACTTGGACCCTCTAATGGGGATGTGCAGGCTAGGACTGGGGAGGGACAGGTGGCCGGTTATCGAGGAGGAAAATGTTCCTTTCCATCTTTGGGTTCCTGGCTTGTCTGCTTGCTGCTCACCGGGGCGGGGCACTTCTTTTCGTTTCTAACTTGAGGCAGTACACGTGCAGACACCGTCCCTTTGCGTCTCTTTCATGGTAGTAATAGTAGCATTAGCTACCATGCAGCTGCTGCCCAGCGATTCTGCCTCAGTCATGTTTCCACATGACAAAAACAGGAGGGAGGAAAAACCAACCGGCACACGTCGCCTGGCCAGCTGCCTGCGCATGCCAGGGAAGGGCTGGCTCCGAGATGTTGGCATGAAGCAAGAGGAGGCGCTTTTGTTCTTACTTTCATCTGTCATGACCAGAGCTGGCCAAACAACACAGGCCACTGTGAATGAAGGGCACGTACGCACCAGGAAGCAGACAGCAGTGAGGGTGGGTGGGAAGCTGTTGCTCTAAAGAAGAATGGTGTAGGGAGCCCCTGTGTAGTTCTAGCAGCTGCCTCTCAGCTCACATGCAGTCCCTGGTGGCTCGGCACATGCGTGCCAAGTCTGAGGACCTGCTCGAGGTGACCCTGAAGGTGAGTGTAGTTAGAGGTTTTCAGTCTGGGAATCCATTTTGCTGTTGATCTGTCTGCCTTAGTAGGAATCTGCCTGGTTGCTGTGGGAGGCAGTCTCGCTAGAGTAATGACCCACTGCAAGGTGAACAGAGCCCCAAAAGCAGTGAAGACCCAGCACTGAGGAGTCAGCACCCATCAGCCAAAGACAAGGACCCTGGGCAGCTTTAGATTAGTCTTCGATCAGGAAGAAGGGCAGGACAGTGAGCGGCACGGTACATTACCCTCTTTTTCCATGTCTTGAGTGAGCCTCCTCCCCACAGGCTCCACTTTCTGTTACTGCCGCCCTGTGGTCCAGGATTGAGCTCATTTCCTCACCATCTCCTGAAGTCGGCCACAGCAGTGTGCTTCCAGCTGTGGCAGGCCGAGGTCGGAGGCTCCTTACCCGTGAAAGATCCAGGTGCTGCACTCGTCAGCCTTGGTGATGTAGTTCTCGGGCAGGAGTCCAGAACAGCCGGTGGTCAGGGAGGTGCCGTAGATCCAGCCCTCGCTGGTGCTGGTCTGCTCCATGGGAGACATGAAGATGAAGTCCCCCGGGACCAGCTCCAGCTCATCGTCGTTCTGTGGGGTGTAGGGGTAGATGACCTGTAATGTCTAGAAAAGGAAGACAGGATGCGTGAGCCCACTATTCTCCAGTGCCTCGAGGGTGAGATTCTGTATATGCAGTGTGGGTGTTGGATGGGGATGGGTCGGTAGGCCCCGAGGAGATCTGGATGCCTATCAGAAAGTATTTCTTTTCTCATCAGGGTCTTGTGGGTATGACCCTGGCACTCTTGGATGGTCTCAGACTTTCTTGCCAGTGTGCCTTCACTTCCCCTCAGGATTCAGAGATGGGCTTCACAAACTCATCTGAAAGCTGAAGGGCTGTCAAGCCAACTGCTATCTAAATGGAGTTTCCCTGGCCTGTCTGTGGCAGGCAGGGCAGCAGACGGCAGATGCAGCTAGCGGAAAGTGAGTCATCATGTGGGGCTCACAGATGGGCCAGGTAGGGGTTATTCCTATAGGAGAGGTTTGGGAATGAAGGTGTCCCTGTCTTTGTACCTCAGCAGTTTAAACAAGGAACTTCTTTAAAGCTGAAGTTTTAGCAAAGGTCTGGAAGGAAATTGTCTTTCACAGACAGCAGCGCATGGAGTAACCAGCCTTCCTTCATCCAGGGGCAGATGGTGACCACACCTTCCTTCTTTGAGCTCAGAAAAGCCTCCAGGGCCAACCACAAGACCATGCCACTTGGCTGATTCATTATTCTCTTGGCAGGGAGCTATCTTTCCTGGTGTATATAAACACCATAGGCCTAAATATACTTTAGAAAAAATTTTCTTTTTTTTTTTTAATTAGCAGCAGAAGACCTCAACAGTGAGGAAAATATTCCCTACCCTGTTTGTTTTGCAAGGGACACAAATATGGAGGAAGTTTTCCTAGCTTTTCTACTGTGTCCAAGCTGTTCATAGGTTAAATATGCTAGTTCTCATCCTCGGATTTTTAACTTTATTTTTTTTATCCATGAAATAATACCTGGACTATACAAGTTAAACAATGTAAGACAACGCCTTGGAACAGAGCCCTGTACACAGAAGGGTTTACTTGTTTCTGCTGAAGCGTGATGCCTGTTCTCCCAAGTAATACTCGTCCTTGCTGCCAACCCATCCACTCGCTGGCGTCAGACTGACCCACCAGAACACGTACTGAAGAAAGCAATGCAAAGAGCCAGAAAATGTGTTTGTCTGAGAGGACGAGGCCGGTAAGGCATAGAATGCATGTGAATCGCTCGGCCGCTACACAGGCGCTTGTTTGTCAAGTTCTTCCTCCAGCATCTTTCAGTTCTGGACCTGCCTGTTCTGATCACCTCCATTCTCCTGCTCCCCTGCATCACAGACGCGCAAACTTCTTTTCCCACAAACCAGGAAAATTTTTGTGGGGTTCATTTTTTTTAAAGGAAAAAAAAAATCCACCAAAAAATAATTGCTTAAATTTCAAAGCTCGGGATGTAATGATGTGCGACAAGCAACATTCCTTTGCCTGGAACAGGGTGGAGTGAGGCCGACAGTCGCAGTGAAACAAGCCTGAACTCATGCTCTTCGGGCACTTGTGCAGAGCAGTCTCAGCTTATAATGACCCCCCGCCACACACACAAAAGTTCAAAGCAACTCAGAGAACTCCTTTCAGAGGCTTTAATATTGTTTTGTTTTGTTTTGTTTTGTTTTGTATAAGGGTCTCACCATGTAGTTCAAGCTGGCCTCCAATTTATGTCGATCCTCCTGCCTCAGCCTCTGGAATCCTGGGATTGTAAGTGTGTGCCACCATCCCCTCTAGAGGGGTCCTTATTCTACCTCTGGGATTTTTCCAGGAAAATCAAGGCACAGCGAAGTTTGGAGACAATCTATCCTAAGATAGAATAGTTGGACAATAAGTAGCTTTATTTACTGAATGAACAATATGAGAATTAAGGCACTGTGGCCAATCTAAAATTATAACTGTGGGCCTACAGGTATGGCTCAATGGTGAAATAAGTGCTTAGACTGTTTGAGACTCTGGATTCCACCCCCAGCATCAAAAAATTTAAAAATGAAATAAAATAATAACTGGGACTCTTTTCCATGCCCCAAAAGCAGATACAAAAAACTCAGCTTAAGTGACAGGAATTAGGACACAATACCTACTTTGTACTACATTATACTGATGCTTCTGTTTTATGTTTAGCACCTGCTTGTAAGTCTTAAATCTGTCTTAGGTATATTTTTCCTCCCTCACCTCAGAGTTTGCTAACTGATAGGCAGTCAGAGCCTTATGTGATAATAAACTGAACCATGTGCCCCTGGAAACCCTTCTATTCTTTGAAACAATTGAAGCTGCTGTAGGAATTTCTTTGTTAAAACCACCTTGTGGCATTACATTAGGGCCTGTTATAGTTTGGATCTGAACTGCTCAAAACTCATGTGCTAAAGGCCTGGTTGCCAGCTGATGGGCTTTGGGAAATGACTGGATACTGAGGGCTCTAATTTCATCAAGTGGATTAATCCATTGATGAAACTGTAATTTGGTGGCATTATTGGAAGATGATGGAAATAGAAGTGCGCCTACTTGAAGGAGTGGATCATGGGGGCATGGCCTTGGGGATTGTATCTACTTCTTTCCTCTTTGGCTGTTTCCCTAATGCTTCCCATGAGATGAGCATGTGTTTCCCTATGTCCTTCCACCATGATATCCCCCCTCACCTCGGGACCATGGCTGTGGGATTAGCTGACCATGGACTGCAACTTCTGAAACCATAAGCCACAAACAAACCTTTCTGCTTTCAAGTTGTCTTTCCAGGGTATTTTATCATAGCAACAGAAAGCTGACTAACACAGCTAGGGCCTTGCCATACAACCTCTTATTTAGTCTGTGCCATGGTCCAGCAAAACACTACTACTATTTTATGATGAGAACGTTAAGGACTAAAGAGTTATTTAAGTTGTTAAAGTGAATCTAATCACTGATAAAATGAAAGAGCCAGGATTTAAAGCCAAGGGTGCCAGACTCCTACATGTGTGCTTTTTTTGTAGAACTCTGTCTTTCCTCTAGATTTCCACTGCTTGGTGCATAGAAGTGGCATAGCCTAGAGTCCCCACTAATGTGGAAGGGACTGCACCAAATACAAATAGGTATCTGCAAGTCCACATCAATAAGACTCTTACAGTTTTCCTAGACATCAGTCACAAGGCCTTGCTGAGTGTCCTTGTCTGAGTCAATCTCCTTCTCTGGACATCTGTTCCCTCCCTGGCAGTCCATCAAGCCTGCTTCCTGGGGGAAAAGTGGGAGGGAGGAAGGCAAGAGCTCTCCCTTTGCAGAAAGATGGGAAGACCTCCGAGGGAGGGTCTCTGGTCTAAAGGGGCCACAGAGTGTTGTGTCAGAAGAATAGTAATAAACGAGCTTTTACAAATAAGAGATAAAAGAGGCTCCCTTATTTTTAGAAAAGAATTCACGTGGGCGCTCACTGCCTTTCCATGCCAATTGAGCAGAATGTGGGTCAGGCAGAAAGTAATCACCCTCTGAGTTAACTAGAGGGAGTGTTGATTAGAGGATGTGCCTTGTAAAATTCCACTGTGCCTCTTCTCTCGGAAAGGTGACTTTTCAGAGGCCATCTTCATGGAACCATTGATGTTTTCTCACCCGCACCCTCAGAAAGTGTCCAGCCTCACCTTTCGGGCTTAGATGTCCAAATGTCTCCACTTTAGGGCTTATCCCAAGTCATTCCCGGAGACTCTGGAACTCTAAAGTTTCGCTCCAGTCCACTTTACCTGTCTTTTCAGAAACTTGTGTCCAATGACTCAAGAGGAGGAAATGACATCGCCATCAGCAAAGACCTTAAAGCTGCACCTTCCTCACAGGGTGCCTGCCACACCTAGCCATGAAGATTTGATTCCTGGCTTGGTTCTTCCTAACACAAAACAACAGAGTTGCTTGGTCTCAACCCTGAGGTTCCAGCTCTCTTCCATGTTAAAAAAGCCTAAAAGAGAGGTGTCTTTTGTTTGTTTTTTTTTTAACCTATTTTTATTTTATTTTATTTTACTTATTTTTTTGGTACTGGGAATCAAAGTCAGGACCTTGCACTTGCCAGGCAGGCACTTGTGCCACTGACCTATATCCCTGGCTATGTTTTTTAAAAGGGCTATGTAGGCCAAGTGTGGTGGTGCACATCTGTAATCTCAGCACTTGGGAGGCTGAGGCAGGAGGATAGTTGCGAGTTTGAGGCTAGCCTGGGCTACAAAGTGAGTTTAAAGCCAGCCTGAACTGCATATCAAGACCCTTGTCTCAAAAAGACCAAAAAGAAACAAAGAAAAAGGCCATGTAAGCTAACAAAAATCTCAGTTCTTTTGCTACTGAAAAATTGGGAAAACAAATGTAAGTATTGATGAATAAATGTAGTTAAATTTGAAAACAAATTCTTCATCTACAGTGGTCCTCCCTTATTCAAAGATCCTTCGTGGGTGCCTGAAATCTCAGATAGCAATGAACTGTGGATTATGAACATTAAGAAATCAACAATAGTAGCTAATCATCAAATAGAACAACTATAACAATATGCTATATTAAACATAATTTAAAACTTAGAAAAAAAAACAAAAAAACTCGGGAGTTTATTTCTGGGTTTTTTTTTTTTTTTTTTTTGGTCTTTTTGAGATAGGGTCAGGCTGGCCTCAAGCTCACTTTGTAGCGCAGGCTGGCCTTGAACTCACAACGATCCTCCTGTCTCAGCCTCCTGAGTGCTGGGATTACAGGCATGTGCCACCACAAACAGTCTGAGTTTTTCCTTTATTATCTTCAGACTATGATTATCTTATGTAACTGAGAGTACAATAAAGGAAATCATAAATAGAGGAGGACAACTATATGGGGTTTTGTGTCCTTTTTTTATTAGATACATTGATCTTTATTGATCAAAATACTTGGGCTCAGGCTTTACCTCTGGTCCTTATTTGCTCTTTATCTTTGGACCAGCCACTTACTCTCTGCATCTCAGGTCATTTTTCAGGGCGAAAGGGACAATATCACTCTTCCAGTATCAACCACTCTTTCGTGTTAGACTGCAGAGCAATGTGGATTCCCCCAAAGAAGGATGCTAGGAGCTTCCCCATCTGTCAGCCTGCAACAGGACTCAGCTGTCCCACCCACGCTTCTCGGTGGGAGGCATGCAAACCTCACTGGGCCTGGGCTGAGCTTTCTTTTCACAGTCTTTTTCAACTGACCTGCTCTTTGAGGACAGGACCACATTTAAAAATTCGAGTACGTTCTACGGTTCCTTGCATGACACAGATATCAGTGAATAGCTCTTCACCATGCCTTTGCATTTTTTGTACTTATGTATTCCTTGACTCCCCTAAGGTCAGAATGATGCCTGCTATCAATACCAGTAACTAATATAATGTTTCATTCCTTCCAAGCATATTTGCCATCTGTCCTCTATTTTATTTCTACATCCCTCCAAGGTCGGCATGGCAGACAGAATCATGGGGATGTTACCTAAATGAGCTACTTGGGGTCCAGAGAGAGGGATGCACGTTCCAAGCTTCCCAGAGAGTTGGTAGAGCCTGGACAAAAGCCTGGGCAGGTGCTTGCTTTGTTGCTCTGCACTGGTGACCATTTCTCTGCAGTGGCCAGCAGCAAGCACTCCTGGTTCTGATCACACCCCTGCCTGCACTTGACAGCATCAGGAGTTGCAGTGAGACATTACCTCATGGTTAGCAAATCGGATATCCCGAGAGAATATGGTGGCCACCCAGTCGCACCCTAGTTTGACATCGATGTTCTGGGCTAGTTTCTCCAGGGTGGGTAGGTGGCTGGCTTGGAAGTGATAAGCCAGAGTAACGTGCAGCTGCTTCTTATGAGGTTCCACATGTACTTCTGGAAAAAGGGAGAAAAAAAAGTCCACAATTAGAATGTGGTGATCATAGCAATAGTGGAGTCTTAAGAACCAACACAGAAAAGTGCCCTGATAATTTCTGCTCCCTAAATAACAAAGGAGGGAGATCCTCAGTTAGACCAAAGCTGTTTCTCTCTTTCACAGCAGCAGAAAAAAGGGAAGTGGGTCATAGATCCTGAGTCAACCCACTGCAGGAGACAAAGAGCCACAGAGATGGCTTTTGCATAAGCACTATGGATCGGCAGAGGGATAACCCTTTTTGGATGGCTCCTCTTTACAATGATCCCAGTTGATTATCACCAGCCCCACCATCCAGATGAAGAAACCAAGACTGGAAAGCACAACATGATTTCTATAGAAATAGAGTGCATGTTTTGCAATTGTGTGATTCCCACAGCTATGTTGCCTTCCTTTTGGGAGCAAGCCTTGTACCTTCTGGGTAAGTCTGATGGAGAAACACAGTAGGAAGATAGAATATCATTAAAATTATAGCAAGGCTCCCTAACTGCCTTTTGGGTTTTTTTTTTTTTTTTTTTCTGGTACCGGGAATCAAACTCACGACCTTGCGCTTGCCAGGCAGGCGCTGTGCCGCTGAGCTAAATCCCCAGCCCCCCTAACTGCCTTTTGACTGGACTACCTATTTGTTGTAAGGGGCTCACTTGTGCATTGTAAGTAGGATGCTTAGCAACATCCCCGGCCCTAGTCACTAGATGCCAGTAGAGACATAGGGGATAAGGTATGGCAAAGCTGATTAGGGAAATGAGTGGGACCTGTCAATCACAAGACTCCAGGGCAATGTGAGGACCCATATGTAGGACTTCTTGGGAGCTCCTAGGAGATGTGGATGGCATAAAAGAAGAGTGGTCAGCATGGAAAGCCGTTATTGTGCCTGAGTCTACATGGTACCCTGAGCTGAGCTTCTCAGACGGTGTGTAATTTTCCTTTGGTTTTTGTCCTCTTTTAATCTTTATTCAGCCCACGTTTGCTCTGCAGAGCTGGTTTCTCCCATAACCATTTACCTCGCACTTTTCAAATAAATGTCTGGCACCGTTTTTGGCTTGCCTCATCCAATTCTTTGTTTGAGGCGAGAAGAGCCTGGAACGTTTTTGGTTGGCAAGCCATTTCTGAAGAAACCACCCTGTAACAGTAGCATCACCTAGGGTATAAGAACCCAAAGTGACTTCAAGCATTGCTAAATGTTCGGGGGTGGGGTCAAAATCACCCCTGATGATGAAGCAGGCAGACTGTGAGCCGAGGGTACAGCTCACAAGACGAGCACTTGCCTACGGGGCAGGAGGTCCTGAGTTCCACTGCTAGTACATGTGTAAAGTAGGTATACTGTTGAATACAGAAAACAAAGCCTGCAGATTATAAGCCACCCTAAAAGCAAAAGAAATCTACTTACATGAGGGAATGGCTCTTACTTCTCTTTTATACTTTAAGCAAGGGAAAGTCATCTACTTAACAAGCTGGAATAATGAAGATACAACTGGAAGGCTTGATTCGGATCTGACTCTCCCAGTACCCAACCTGTCTGCCCGCAGAGGCCTTGTTCTCAGCTCAACGCCAGTGCCCTCTGCAAACACAGAATGTCTTAAAAGAGCTAAGATGGAGCACGGACCATGTCTAAAGACACACAAGCACTCACAATGGACGCCTCAAGGATTTTGCCCACTGCGGCATGAAACATTCAGAGAACTTTGACCACCAATGTTTACTAAGATCTTCCTAACACCCCTTGCCTTCTTTCAAGCCCTATAAAAATGCTTGCTTCTCTTTGCTCCTTGCCGATGGCCTTTTTGTCCTCTGTCTGCCTGCACCCAGGCACAATAAATTCCACAACACTTTGCCTTTACACAAGCCTGGTGGTCTCGGCTGGTCTCCACCTTGCACTGTTCCTTACAACAACTACATGAAATTAAGGAATTCAAGAAATTAAGGCACTTGGTCCAGTCACATAGAGAATTAGTGGCCAAACTAGACCTAGAAGTTGGGTCCTAGGGTTTCAAGTACTTTTTCTGTTATCCCACACAGGATCCCTGTGGAGGAAGCCCCATGAGACAAGGCATTTTCTGTTTATCCATCTATATTCCCACTTAGATGTCAATAGGATTTCAGTAGTTGTTGCATAAATGAACGCACATAAGTGAGTCTCCTTAAACTACCTGGAGTAGAGAATGACACTCAGTCTACTGGCAGAAGGAACTGCAGTGTGCCAAGAACTAGGATACCAAGGCATAAGTTCTAGGGCAAGACAGGATGATCTGTTTTGCACCTTCGGTGATAAACTAAACTAGCTACATCTAGCCCGGCCATGCAGTTCCTCGAAGCACCACCAGGGAGTGTCACACAGACAGAGATCCCAGGTCCCATGCTTTCTTGGAGAGTGACAACGGATTCTTGGAGAGGGACTGCCTGTCCCGTTTCCACATGGAAATCCGGGGGCCTGACTGCCTCTCATTCCATATACACTCTAAGAATCTGCCACAGTCCTCGCTGAGACCTACTTTTCTGATTTGTGAAGGAGCTGGGTTTTGTGGCTACATTAGCTTTGGTTCTTGTGGGGATATAGTGGTTCTGACAATAGCTACTGTGGAAGGGGAAAAAAAAAGCCATTTCCTTGAGGTCTAAGAACAGGAAATAATTTGGCTCTCTATTATGTTGTTTCTCTGAAATACTCAGCTTGTGTGGAACACCAGGCTGCACTGAAGCCAGAATCTCAAGGCTGGTCCCTGGGAGAAAGGGATGCCCAAGGACAGGGTGTAGACTGATGCAGCTCCTGCCCAAAGCAGAAGGAAGTGAGCCAAATGCTTTAACACAGAGCTCCCAGAAAGTGTTTTACGGGCTCAGAACTCCTTCTGAGAGCAGCGATGCTTTAGGATCCTGTGATGATCGCTGACCTCACTCTTCCTGGCTCCTGAGGTCTATTTGAGGTTTTTTTCTGGTAAAGAGAAACACAGAGCAAGAGGGTCCGGATTGGTTCTGAAACAGCGGTGATAACAATGGCAGCTGAGATACAGCTGAAAGTCAACAGACTCTGGAGCTTTGCTCAACTCTCTTGCTCTGTGAACCCCACACAGTGGGGGTTGGTAAAGCTCGGTGTCTCCTACAGCTTTACGTCCAACACTTGGCCAGACTGTGCAGCTCAAACCCTCGACACTTCCCTGTCACACCCCAGTGCTCCTACCACCTGCTCCCCTGGAGGGGCCCTTCCTCCACCATCCTGATCCCTCCTCCCCAGCTTCCTGTCTCCCTGAAGACATCCGCACCAGCCTCACTATTCTTGGTGCTCTTACCACAATGCCTGAGTCTGGCTTTCTAACTGTGCCTCCGGCCAGGAGAAACCAATGCTTTCTTCTCTTTCTCTCCCCCAGGACTGGGGGCTGCACCTCTACACTGACCGACTGCCCAGCCCTATTTTCTTTTTTGATTGGAGACACAGTCTCCCAAAGTCACTAAGTTATTCAAGCTGGGACTGAACTTGCCTCAGCCTCCCAGAGTGCTGGGATTGCAGGCTGAACCACGAGCTCTGATTCTCTTCTTCTTCGCATCGTTTTTGATAAACACATACTTGGTGTCCCCAAAGCCACAGCTGAGTGTGACTTCATTTCTAGGGAGCAACAGAGGGCCCCTGCCCCCGCACTGTCCATCAGTGCCGCCGAAGGAGGCCCTCTCACCCAGCCCAGCCAGCCCATCTGACACCGGGCCCCTCAGTGGAGAGTGGCAAATGTCTCCCTCTTGTCCACACACATCCCGAGCATCGGGGTGTGCTAACCCTGCTGCTGGGCATCTCAGCTGGCTTGCGCTGAGAGCTGTCATGGACAGAACTGGAGATGTCTCAATGAGGTTACATTTTTGGACAGACTTTTGAGGATTCAAGGCCTCTCTAATGGGTTCCAGCAAGTTGAAGGGTGTCAGCTCAATGTGTTTTCTTATGATTTACTATGAAGGGGAACACAGCAAACATCAAGACCAGATAAACATTACTATGGGCAGGGTGGGGGTAAGGAGGAAGCGAGGCAGGCTCTGAATTCTGAACCAGGGGAGAGAGATGGTGGTGCCCAGAGGGTTGGTTCATCTGTAGTCCAGTGCTGAGTCACTGAGCATCTCAGCCTGGGTCTGAGGGAGAGAGCAGGATGGTCTCTCCAGGAAGTCGGTCTCTCTAGGAAGTCAGCAGAACAGCAAGGCAGCCAAGGGACATGGGGATTCTTGCCCTGTGTGCCCTCTACCTCCGCCTCCAGCTCCATGGCCCTCATGGCTGGGATGTGAACTGGGCCCACAGAGGGCGTGTGTCATGTGTGGCCTTGGTCCTTACAGTGGTTAAACTGGTGGGTGGAGGAGCCTTTAAGAAGTAGAGCCTGGTGGAGGGGGATGGGTCACAGGGTTGGAGCCCCTCAGCAGGTATTCAGACTGGCCGGTCTTCTCTCTGTTCCCAGCTACCACCTACCTTTTCCTACCTGCATCCTTCCCTACTCTGGTTCTCACGGCCGAGGCTGGGCTCTGTGTGCTCACCGGTTTTGGATGCGGCCTCAGCAGCGAAGTCCGCGGCGAACTTCTTGAGGACCTCTGCGCTGTCCTCCTTCACGAAGAGGCCGATGAAGTTGGAGGAGGTGTAGAGCTCCAGGGGCAGGGGCGCCGAGAACTTGCACTTCCAGCGGCTGACAGTGGTCTGCAGGGCCTCCCCCAGGGCGTCCACCTTGCTGTCCTCACACTGGCAGGGTGGGGGGAGAGGGAAGGAGCAGATATCACTCAGAGACCCAGGCACTGGGGGTCTGATGCCCCTTAACACTGCACACACTTTCCCCAGGGACTGGAGGTGGATAACCATCACCCCTGCCTGGGAGGCTGGAGAACAACGGCAGGCCCCTAACTATACAGACACACGCTCTCCCTCTGGCAAACTGAGCGGAGAAGGCATAACCTCTTCCCTTCCTCGCTGGCTGAGCCCCACCACAGTGCAGGACTGGTTCAGTAGAAAGCAAGAATGAGGTTTGGGGTTGGGTCTAAAATTTCAGTTAGAAAAAATAATTAAATTCAAGAGAGCTCTTATACAGCACCATGACTACAGTTAATAACAATGCAGTACATACTTGAACATTGCGGAGAGAGTAGATTTTAGCGCCTGGGATGTAGCTCAGTAGTAGAGCACTTGCCTAGCACACAGAAGCCCTTGGGTTTGATCCCTAGCACTGGAAGATTAGGAGAGTAGATTTTCAATGTTCTCATCACAAATAAAAGGTACACAGGGCGATACATGTATTAATTAGCTTGATTTAGCTATTCCACCATGTACACATATAGCAAAACATCATAAATAGATGTAATTTTTGAAAAACAAATTTTCTTAGCTCAAAAACAAAAATCAAAAGAAAAGCAAAGAAGAAGAACATGGTGAGAGAGTACAGGACAAACTGTTGCGTGTTTTCTGCTTGTTTAGCATAACGTGTACCTTTTCGGTTCCTTTTAGACAATCAAAGTTGTCTGCACATCCACCCCCTGATAGCTGGGAAGAATGAGGCTCAGAGCCGTGACATCCTCCTACCCTCTGCAGTGCACTGAAGGGAAAATGAGTGTCTCTAAAATGCTCAATGTTTTTGAGAAAGAGCCTGTATGACTAAGAGGAAGTGATAATCACTTTAATTTTCAAAGTGAATGGCAAAAGAGAAGGTGTTAGGAACATGCTTTTTATTAGAGAGAGACAGGCACAGGGACAGAGAGAGAGAGAGAGAGAATCTGCAAAAAAAAAAGCAAAATATCTTTTTAAAAATTTTGTCTTGCTGGGGTGGTGATGCATCCCTGTCCATCCTAGCAGCTTGGGAGACTGAGGCACAAGGACTACAAGTTTAGGCCAGGGTGGGCAATTCAGCAAGATCCTGTCTCAAAAGGGCTAAAGATGTAGCTCAGTGCAAAGGCCCTAGGTTCAATCCCTGGTACCACCACCAAAAAAAAAAAAAAAAGTGTTAAAATGCTACCATTCTACTTGTCTCGAAGCTATGTGGCTTAATCAATTCTCCTCTACTTTCATGGGAAGCTATATAGATGCATTTATTTAATGTATTAGAAGGAGTGGATTTAATTTGGTTGCTAAATGATTTTCCTTCTTTCCATGGTACTGGGGTTGAGCCCAGGACCTTCCCACTGAGCTATACTCCAACCCTTTTTTATTTTTCATTTTGAAACAGGGTCTCAGTAAATCACTCCATTGCCCAGGCTGAGCTTGAACTTGGGTTCCTCCTGCCTGATCCTCACTGAGTGGTGGACTCACAGTCGTGCACCAGCATAGATCAACCTTCTCACGGCTGCAGTTACGGACTAGAACAGTGGCCAGTGAGAGACAGCTTCTTTTCTGTCCAGGAAGATCTAGTGAAAAACCCCGTGGACAGCATCCAGAGGCTGAAACAGCTGTCTCTATCTATTCCCTGCTCTTTTTGCCCTCTTCCCTTGTAAAAGTGGACAGGGGAGATGATGGACAAGTGCGAAGGCACCTGAGTGACCGCCCACAAGGGTCAGGATTGTCCCTTGGCTGGGAGGGGAACAGTCACCTCGAAATCGTATCAGACCCAGGTGCCCCTGGGTCTCTGTAGATACAAAGCAAGAGGACTTAGGGTGACACCCAAGCTGACCCCTGACTACCCAGTCCTCTTGGTGCCCCATTCTTGCTCCAGGTCCAAAGGGGCCATCAGGGCCACTGGGAGACAGGCTGCAGGGACAGGGCCAGCAGCTCACCATGAAGAACTGGCAGAGGGTGATGTGGGGGAAGATGTTGTGAGCCTTGTTCTTCCCGCAGATCTGCTTCGACTGCTGCCAGAAGTCGGAGAGCTTCTGTGCTAAGGGTCCGGTGGGGCGGAGGTAGAGGACATACTCCCGGGGCAGGGGGTCATCCAGGAAGGGGTCCCCCACGTGGGAGAACAACCTGGAAGAGAGAGAAGAGAGCGTGAGAAGACTCGCTGGAGAATAACAGAAGGAAGGAAAAGTGGAGAGACAGATCCACCCTCCACATATTCCCTACCCCGGGCACCACGGCGAAGGTGTTCCTTCGTGCTGTCAAAAACTACCGATGCTCAGATGCACCAACTTCTGTTCTCCCGCGTCTCCTGTTGCCACCTCATCCCACAGCTCCCTAAAAAACCCTGGAGCTGCTCTCCAGGAAGCGTTCTCGGATTAACTCCAAAGCCTTTGCCCATCCCGCAGTACCGCTCCCACGCATCCTGCCCCTCAGTTCAGTCTATGAGGAGGCCCAAACACTGCCAAGAAAAAGGAAGCTCCCGGGATGCTATGGGATCCCCCAGGCACAGGCACCTGGAAGGAATGTGGGATTGTTTTCTAAATGGATTCGCCCAGCATCCACACACTTACAGTGAATGTGGGGGGATGGGGGTGGAGGTCCTGGGAATCTAACCCAGAGCCTTTGTACCAAACCACATCCCAGGCTTTCTTCCTTTCTTTCTTTATTCAATTTTGAGACAGGGTCTTGCTAAGTTGCTTAGGTTGGGCTTGAATTTGCAGTCTTCCTGCCTCAACCTCCCAGAGTGCTGGGATTTGGGTTTTTGCTACCAGGCCTGGCATAAGGAGGCCTTTAAGTGACTGGAAGGAGGCAATATGCAGAGAAGATCTACCTGAAAATGACTCTGAATGTCTTTAAACATCTCCAAAGACAAACATACCCTGGGGCCGGGGCAAAGCAGGCAACTGACTTGATAAATGGCATTGCTGCTGGCCCTTGGGTTCATCTGCTCCCAGGAAGGGTCTAATAGAGAAAGGCTGCACAGCGCAGTCATCCACAAGCACTCAGGGTTATTATGTGCTATTTTCTCAATTTATTTATTTCATACCAACCAGTCACATGCTGCCTGAACGCTTCTTCCTCCGGTGGATGCCAAGGCCTTTTGCCTGGAAGAAGAAACTATTGTTAGTATTCTTAGCCTCTTCTCAGCTTTTCCCACTGCAGCAGCAAGCTCTGGGTGTGCAGGAGGCAACATCAGAGGCCATGTTCTGCTCTCCTCCGAGGAGTGGAGACACCTGAGGCAGGCTTCGCCGAGGGTCATAGCCAGGCAAGTGGAAGCTAGGACTTGCCATTAATTTCCGGGAAATTAGCATTGGATTTGCATGCAGCTTGGCAGCCTGTGCAGTCTATTTTCAGCAGTTTCCACATTAGAGTTTTATTTTTGCTTCCCTAAACATTACCATGTCTTGGTTTCTCCTCCTCCCTTTTTACCCACCCGCTTTTACTGACCCAGATCCCCTGCAGGGTGGATTCTTCTTTGCAGCCCCTTGGCGGGGTGGGTACGTCACTACCTCTTTTCACTCTCTCCAAGCACCACCACCAGCAGCAGCAGCAGCCCCAGGTTGGAGCCATCATTTCCAACTATTTTGCAGTTCTTCTGGGGCACAAGCTGCACGGGGTATAAGAGGATGGCCAAATCCCTGCTATTAGCTCCACTTCTGGAGAAAAACCTCAAAGCTGTCCTAATGACGAGTGAGTTTCCACCGGGATCCACTGCAGTAGGCCCTTTACTCAAGCTCACACATGTAGAGCTCTTCTAAAACTTTAGACCTGTCTCCAAGAGCCAGAGTTCAGGGTTCATGTCTAGTTTGTCTATTCACCCATCCGTTCTTTCATGCATGTACTCATGCTCACACTCACTCAGTAATTACCTAGGACGGCAACTGTTTTGTCAGCACTGTAGCAGGTCTTAGGACTACAGTAAAGAACAAGACTACGCAGTCCTTGCATGGATCTCATGCAGCTTTCAGTCACACAGGCTCATGAAAACTCCCAGCATACAGCCAACCCTTTAATCACACCAGTGGCCAGTGCAATGTCAGAAAAGCACAGGAAGCCATGATAAGACAGGGCAGAGAGATCTAGCCTGGTCTCAGGGCAGCGGTGGGGTGGGGGGGACAGTCTTGCAGCAAGGACATTTCAAGTGAGTCTCAGTGAGGTGGTGGAGTTTTGTGGTGGCTGTACAGACCTCAGGGCATCTACTCCAAGTGAGATGTAAAGATGAAATAAGCTGGTGTGCATAGGAACCCTGGACAGTGCCTGACACATCCTAGTGATAAATAAGCACTCATTCACCCTTACACTATACTGATTCAGAGTCTTTCATAAGGGGAAGAGAAAGCAAGGGATCCAAATTAAACTGCTCTCTGTCCAAGCTTCCTTCTCTCATTTGGCTGCAGAACCAACCCGTCTTTCCTCCTGCTACCTCTCTGGGGAGCAGTCAATCAGAGGGACTGGTGCTGTGAAAACCCCAGGTCAGGAGGGAAGGGATCTCAGAGATCACGTGAGTCTGACTTCTTTGTATACAAGGGAAGAGTCAGCCTGGCTAAGGTGATGGCTAAGGAGAAGCCTGACTCTGCCCCCTTGCTCCTGAGCATAGTCAAGTCAAACACATTCTTTCCCTGTGAAAAATCTGAGCACAGATTCCCAAGGATCAGGAGAAAGAGGTCTGCATACAGCATTGTGAAACACAACCCTATTTACACTAAGATGAAGTTAAGGGGAAGTAGGACAGAGCCCTCTGCTCCCCTTGGAACCAACAGGAAAGGCTGGAAGCACAGAGACAGCACACTTGCCCCACACGTGTCAAGGTGCTCCTGAGTGATCGCCTGTCTGCTCCCTTCCTGCTCACCAGACAGAGGCCAGGTACCCGCTTTTGTCAGGGGAGAAACTATGTACCCACAAAAGCACACCATCGTGATACAATAGAGGTTATTCACTGGAAAAGATCCATTGTTTGAAATACAACTGGGAAAGGGAAAAACTCCTTTGTGGTTAAGGCCAATGAGCTATTTATATAAAGCAACTCATTTCTTTCTCCTACGCCCTTCCCCCAATGAAATACATCTAAATGAAATTTATTTTATTTCTTCTGAGGAACTAGGGGAATCCTCTGAAAATGAAAGATCTAATTAAGTTACAGTCTCTGTAACTCCAAAGATATGTCTTGGAGAGGGTTCAAGGAAAAAATGGAAGATAATTAAAGGGTTGGGTGTGATAAAGGCTGTGATAAAAGGTTAAGGAAATCCAAATTCTTTCTTTCTCCAGATGACAAGTCTAAGAGGCCTTTAATTTTGTGGAAGGTTATTGTATTCAGCACACCCTGTCTAGAGAGGGTCAGCCCAAATAAAATAAGTGTTGGCTGTGGCTCGAAGGGCTCAAATTAGCTATCAGAAAGAACTTTCTGGAAGTAATGTGGTTTGAAGTTTTAAAAAAATGTTTCTAGAAAGTAGTTATCAATCTGAAACAGAGGAGTGGAATTCCCTAGGGAGGAGGTGGTATATATATATAAGTAAAATCCCTTTCTCCTTACAATCGCCCACGACAGGCAGGTCCACAGACTCTACCCACTGCCAGGCTGGCCACGATCTGCGCTGAGTTTGTTCCCAGAGCTCTGCCCACAGAACAGACTGAACATGGGAAGCAGGAGAACAAGGCTCTCCCTCACTCTGTGGACGAAAGGATGTTGCCACAGAGCGCCACCTCCACAGCCCACCCCCTGGGGCCACAGCTCAGGGCAAGTGTGTGTGAGCGGGGTGGGCCCTGACCTCCAGGCCCGGCCCCAACATCTGCTACTGTCCGGTGACTCAGAAGTTGCCAGAGGCTTATTTCCGAGGCTACTTGAGACCTTGAGCAGACAGAGGAGGACCTCGGTAGCTGAAATGCCAGTGGCCTTACCATGGGATTACAGCAAGGAATTACGGTGATGAACGATGTCAGTGTGACTTTCTTGACTAGAATCGCTAGGCTGCATAGACCACTGAGGTTCAGTCACATGCAGACATAAACTTGGCTTCTGATCCTGGTGCTAAGTTTGCCAACTGTGACTAGGGTTCGTTTGTAGCATTGTATGAAGAAAATGATGCTAACTCATACCAACCAAGGACGGGGAAGAACGGCACAAACAGGACAAAAACAATGGCAAATCAAAAAAACCAGGAAAGCGGTTATAGCAATTAGCCACAGCGGGAGGAGCCAGCACGCCACTGACAGCCCTGCTATGCTCTGCTGGGATTCCTCTGCCACCTGTCCTCGGTCCTGGCGATGCTTGGACTTGATGTTAGACTGGCCCCAGCATCGAAGATGCCCTCATGCCTTTGAAAGTTTGGAAAAGACACACTGCTCTCCTGCTAGTTTGCCTGAGACAAGTGGCATCGCGTCCTCCCATCCTTCCCTCTGCTTTTCCTCTCTCCCTCCCTCCCTCCCTCCCTTCCTTCCTTCCTTCCTTCCTTCATTCCCTCCCTCCCTTCCTCCCTGCCTCGGCTTTCCTTTTTTTTTTTCCTTTCATTCTCTTCTTTTCCTTTTATTCCTAAGGAACTCTTACCAGGAAACCAAATGAAAACCAAAATCTAAACCCACTGTGAAGAGTCATTTTCTGATTGGTGGGCATCTTTCAGGGACAAAGCTTTGGGTTCCTTCGGCAAATTCAGGCTGGTACCACTGCAGCTCTGGCAGGATCCTCATTCCCTCTCAGAACTGCAGGCTGCAAGCCTTCTGGTGGATGTTAGGCAAGGTGACGCCCTAGGGCCACAGCACCCTGGTTATCAGGGGTTTTCCTGTCACTCTAACACTGTCCCCCCTAGTCAATCCAATTCCTCTCCAGGGAATGCCAGCAAGAGACAGGTGATGTGCTAAGGCAGCTCAGAAGAGGGTATCTAACTTGCAGTGTGCTTCCTAGGCTTTGAAATTGTACTTCAAGCTACACGAGGTCAGACATTATGGCAAACTCCAAAGGGTGCCATGTGATATTTTAAAATTTTTGAGTGAAACACAGCAATACCAATCGCCCACTGGACACAATGTAAGTATCTACTTTAAGGTAGCTGTACTTTCATTATTTGTGCTGAAGTTTCTCTTGATGTCCTATCTGTTTGAAGTTAAGGTTTTGATAACTGCTGTAATAAAAAGCAAGTACCCAACAGAAATCAACATGGAACATTGATGTAGGGCCTGATAGACACACATATCTTGCTAGTAAGTAGTGATGGTTTTTTAAGAATGTAGCAAAAATAATATTTTCCTTCCAGTGTATGTGTATTATTTTTCTTTTTTTTTTTTTTTTCTTTTTTTTTCCAGTACTGGGAATCAAACTCATGATCTTGTGCTTGCCAGGTAGGTGCTGTGCCACTGAGCTAAATCCCCAGCCCAATGTGTATTATTTTTCAAATGGCTCCTAAGTTGTTAAGATACTCATTAAAGTTTTAGGATATAACTACTAAATAAATGGAACTATTAGGTATTTATGTTCACCCTCAAGCTTTATGTAAAAATTATCAAGACATTAAAGTGCTGTCTCCTGAGAAAGTTTTGGAATCAGTCCTAGAAGAAATGGCGTTTGATCTGGATCTTAAAACTGAGTAAGAGTCCAGGCATGGTGGTGCACACCTATAATGCCAGTACTCCGGGAAGCCAAGGCAGGAGGATTGCAAATTCAAGCCTAGCCAAGGCAATTTGCAGACTTAGCAAGACTTTTTAAAAGAAAAAAAATTTTTTAAAGGGTTAGGTGCCGTAGTTGAGTATGAAGGCCCTGGATTCAATCCCCAGTGTGTGCAGATCAGTGGGTGATGGCTGAGTTAGAGCTGGCTAGAGAGAAGAGCACCTGGGGTAGCTAGGACGGCATGAGCAAATGACTGAAGGAAAGTGACAGCACTGTGTGTGCAGGAAAAATGGCATTTGGTGACGCCAGCACAAAACCTGCAAAGCTGGAGCAGGGTAAAGATGAGGATGAGCAGGTAGGCAGGGTCAGGGCACAAAGGTCTCGTGCTGGTACAGTGAGCTCAGGCCTGATCATGACTTCTGCGCAGTGGGAAGCAAAGCAGGGTGTGAAGCAGGGAGGCAGGGTTGCATGTGTCCTGAGGGATACACCTCAGGGAGGTAAAGAGTCTGC